TACCATCTTTACCTATGAATTCAGTGCCAATGCCTGAAGACATAACTGCCACCATCTTTACCTATGAATTCAGTGCCAATGCCTGAAGACATAACCGCTACCGTCTCTACTTGTGAATTCAGTGCCAATGCCTGAAGACATTAATGCCACCATATTTACCTATGAATTCAGTGCCAATGCCTGAAGACATAACTGCTACCATCTCTACTTATGAATTCAGTGTCAATGCCTTAAGACATAACTGCCACCATATTTACCTATGAATTCAGTGTGATTGCCTGAGAACATAACTACTACCATCTTACCTATGAATTCAGTGCCAATGCCTGAAGACATAACTGCCACCATCTTTACCTATGAATTCAGTGCCAATGCCTGATGACATAACTGCCACCATCTTTACCTATGATTTCAGTGCCAATGCCTGAAGACATAACTACTACCATCTTTACCAATGAATTCAGTGCCAATGCCTGAAGATATAAATGCCACCATCTTTACTTATGAAATCAGTGCCAATGCCTGAAGATATAACTGATACCATCTTTCAATTTGAATTCAGTGCCAATCCCCGAAGACATAACTACTACCATGTTTACCTATGAATTCAGTGCCAATGCCTGAAGACATAACTCCTACCATCTTTACCTATGAATTCAGTGCCAATGCCTGAAGACATAACCGCTACCATCTTTACCTATGAATTCAGTGCCAATGCCTGAAGACATAACTACTACCATCTTTACCTATGAATTCAGTGCCAATGCCTGAAGACATAACTGCTACCACCTTTACTTAGCCTGAACACATAACCACACATAACTGAAGACATGACTGCCAAGTTGATGTAAAACAAAACATTATAGTGAAAGAAGAAGCAAAAATTCAGAAATATAATTGTTCAAGGGATAATATAGTTCTAGGATGATAAAACCTGATCAGGAAAACAATTTTAAATGACTTGAAAGAACAGATAACTTTTTCCGTGTTCACATGTTTGAAATCGGCCTGAACGATATAAGAGATAATAAATGATTATATATACTCTATAGCAGGAACAATCTTTTTGTTATCTAATATGGTTGCCATGGTAACCGATATATCACTAACACACATATCTGCACAAGTTATCATTGAATGTATATAGGGTAAACTAGTAGCTTTCATTTAGTACAGTATTATTATACTTTTATAATAAAGATTAGATTTTGAAACTCCATTTCAAGTTCCCTGTTTCATTATAAAGGTACATTTATCAGCACTTAGATTTTCAAATGAACAACTCCAGTAGACTACATTTATACTTTTCATAGTTATTATGCCTCATATTATATATCATAATGGAGCTATGATGTTAAATATTTATACTTTAATAAGATATCGTAAGTTAACCTCAATGATTTAGTAAAATAATAGTTTATATTGTTTAAAGTATTAAAAACCCATCCATTATTGAACAAAAAATTGGGTTATGACGTCACAGTTGATATGCAAATGAGCTAATTTGCATAATTTTGAACCAATCATAAACTTTGTTCCTTAAGCTTTCATTTGGCGTTAATATCATCAAAAACGGATAAAAAATGACAGAGATATCTCTAATAATAGAAATAGTCCTCATTAACAGTGGTGAAATTCGGTTGCCATGGAAACGGGCGTCTGAAACATCATTGTCCCTCATTATGATTTAAAATATATATTTTTTCACTGAAGGCATATATAAACGAAGAGATTAAGGTATGACACGTCCTTATATACTCTGAACTATTAATCTCCTCAAAATCTCATTTTCACTCCTCGTCTATATATAGATACATGTACTTTCCATGCTTTTAAAATGTCTAATAATGAGTAATTGTAAATTTGTAATTATTTTCCTTAGCCCTCAAATTAACAAAAAAACTACATGTATACTGTGCAGGTATGTAATGTTCAGGATTGCAATGTTTAGCATTTAACAAGTTTGCCTCAATTTAAGTTTGTGTCTATTAAAATTGGTTTTTATGCAACAAGACCTTTTAATTAAATGTTAGTATGACTTGCTACAACCTCGCATTGCCATTCTCTAATTGATCTTCATAGCATGTTAGCATTTAACAAGTTTGCTTCCATTGATTTTATATCTATTAGAATTGGTTGTATTGCAAGAATACCCTTTAACTGATAGTATTAGAAATATTGAGGTATCGGAGTATTTTAGGAATTGATATAATGTATGAGTGTGAGATGGATTTGTTGATATCTTTACATAAATTCTCTCCACCACTGCCTCTACTGCATCTACCTCCAGGGTGAAAGATAAAAAAGAGTATCTTGTGTAAATGCAACTTTGTTAACTGAGTCAAATAGTAAATTGGATTGGATTAAATCAAGTCAATTTCTGCATTAAGTAGTATTAGAATGCTGAAGTTGTGAAAGTGCCAATAAAGAATAACCAATGCAGACACAATACTATTCATTCAGTAGTTAATTCAGCACAATGATATACATTTAACATATTCATCACAATGATAAAGTAGATTCAGCACATGATGTAATGCATTTAACATATTCATCACAATGATAGATTCAGCACATGATGTAATACATTTTACACATTCATCTCAATTATAAAGTAGATTCAGCACATTGATGAAATATTCAAATACATTTAGCACATTCATCACACTGATAAATTAGATTCAGCACATTGATGTAATACATTTAGCACATTCATCACAATGATAAAGTAGATTCAGCACATTGATATAATACATTTAGCACATTTATCACAATGATAAAGTAGATTCAGCACATTGATATTATACATTTAGCACATTCATCACAATGATAAGGTAGATTCAGCACAATGATATAATACATTTAGCACATTCATCACAATGATAAAGTAGTTTCAGCACAATGATATAATACATTTAGCACATTCATCACAATGATAAAGTAGATTCAGCACATTGATATAATACATTTAGCACATTCATCACAATGATAAGGTAGATTCAGCACAATGATATAATACATTTAGCACATTCATCACAATGATAAAGGAGTTTCAGCACAATGATATAATACATTTAGCACATTCATCACAATGATAAAGTAGATTCAGCACATTGATATAATACATTTAGCACATTCATCACAATGATAAGGTAGATTCAGCACAATGATATAATACATTTAGCACATTCATCACAATGATAAAGTAGTTTCAGCACAATGATATAATACATTTAGCACATTCATCACAATGATAAAGTAGTTTCAGCACAATGATATAATACATTTAGCACATTCATCACAACAATAAAGTAGATTCAGCACATTGATATAAAGCATTAAGCACATTCATCACATTGATAAAGTAGATTCAGCACATTGATAAAATACATTTAGCACATTCATCACAATGATAAAGTAGATTCAGCACAATGATATAATACATTTGGCATACATACATCATACATCACATTGATAAAGTAGATTTAGCACATTGATAAAATTCATTTAGAACATTCATCACCATGATAAAGTAGATTCAGCACAATGATATAATACATTTGGCATACATACATCATACATCACATTGATAAAGTAGATTCAGCACATTGATAAAATACATTTAGCACATTCATCACAATGATAAAGTAGATTCAGCACATTGATAATATACATTTAGCACATTCATCACAATGATAAGGTAGATTCAGCACAATGATATAATACATTTAGCACATTCATCACAATGATAAAGAAGATTCAGCACAATGATATAATACATTAAGCACATTCATAACAATGATAAAGTAGATTCAGCACAATGATATAATACATTTAGCACATTCATCAAAATGATAAAGTAGGTTCAGCACATTGATATAATACATTTAGCACATTCATAACAATGATAAAGTAGATTCAGCACAATGATATAACACATTTAGCACATCCATCACAATGATAAAGAAGATTCAGCACATTGATATAATACATTTAGCGCATTCATCACAATGATAATGTAGATTCAGCACAATGATATAACACATTTAGCATATTCAGCACACTGATATAGTACATCCATCACAATGATAATGTACATTCAGCACAGTGATACATGACATTCAGCGTAATGAGAGTATAATACATTTAGCACGGTGATAAATGATACTGATGGGATATTCAGCACAATGATATCGTACCTTTAGCATGGTATAATAGATTCAGCACACTGATAAGGGAGATTCAACACAATGATATCTTGAATACCTTCAGCAAAGTGGTAAATGATACAGATAAGACATTCAGCACAATTATATAATAAATTTAGCATAATGATAAGGTAGATTCAGCATACATTCAGTTTTGTGAAACAGGACATTAAACCCGATGAAATGGGACATGAAATAGAAAATACAGCACAATCTTAAAGGAGTAATAGCATTGAGCACAATTATACAGGACATTCAGCATAAGAATACAGTGCTGACAGATATGATTATGCTACTAGTACATGTACTTGTATCCATATCAAGGCACATACAAGCACATGCTTGGATATAGAAATGAGATTTGGCCACATTTCATTTTAAACTGTTTACCAATATAAATAAAGGGGGCAAGTATCATATTTAGAGATTTATAGCATATACTTGAAATATTTGTGATTCGAGATTGTGAGAAAGTAAACCACAAAAGGACTGACTTGCACTTTAGCCATATAGCATGCACTACTCTTGGTAATATACATGTGTAATCATTGACTGAAGTACAAAAGGCATATCTGTGTTACAATATGGGTGAACTATTATTGGAAAAAATCAGATTATCTAAATAATCTGTTTATTTTAAATATTCATGTCATGGAAAATCATGTGTAAAGTAATAAAGTAGGAGCATTTGTCCAAAGGCAATAAACATAGGAATATATACCAGTATACTCAAAAGTAATTTTAAAATAAAGGATATTTAACATTGCAATGGAGTGTAGAACTATAGCAGTTATGATTGTGGGATTGTGGATATACCTAGTGTTGGGAGGGGTAGTATTTCACTTTCTAGAACAACCAAATGAAAGTGAAACGAGGGAGATAACAAAGACAACTCGTTTTGAGTTTCTAAGTAAGTTTTTCAAAGGAGATTTAGAACATTTTAACCCCTTTGGATTTTGCTTCTAAGTGTATAGATATTAGCCATGTATTGTTTCCAATATTGCATATCAGGGTATGATTTTATTTAGTAGGCATTTCAATGCAAGTCATTGCATCTTCATCCACTCAATCGTTAATATCAGTGTGAACAAGAACTGAACAAGAAATGCATAGAAACGAGATAAAAATTCAGATAAATATACTAATATAGTAGTAGATACACATTCTAATGTTCATAATATGCTTCTGTAATGAGTGAAATTAATATACCTCTAACTGTAATTGTTTTCAGAGAACTTTTCCTGTGTGTCAAATGAGCAGTTTGAGCTCCTGATAAAGACCGTAATCAAGGCATATGGCCAGGGTATTATAGCCACAAATACTACAGATTCTGCATCTAACTGGGACATTCCTGCTTCTATCTTCTTCTCCACAACAATTGTCACCACCGTAGGTAAGTCACCTGTATTGTTTGTTTGTTTGTTTGTTTGTTGTTTGTTTGTTTGCTTGTTGAGGCAGTTGCAATATAACACAATCCCTACCGTGTAATATCAAGCTCTTTCATTTTAATTAAAGCTGTACACTTTGCCCAAAAGTGGGATACAAGTATAATAAAGCTCATAATAATAATAATATCTGGACATTAAGGGCAATTCGAACATGACTGTATTCACGCCTTCTATAAACTGTAAACAAAGTCAATGCTTCAGCTGGGTTATATTCGAGATCAATAACCCAGTTAATACGTGTAATGTGTGACGTCATAACGATGGGTCGTAGTAATGGCGGACCATGATGAATATTCGAAACAATTTGGTGAGTTTTCATGTTCGAATCGTAATATAGACCTCAGAGCAGGGTTACTAGTTTCGAATAACACCCCGCTGGTCTCGGCACAAAAGCTTTCGAACCCCTCACTCCCTTCGGTCGTTCGGGGTACAGAAAACGTTTGTGCCGAGACCAGCGGGGTGTTATTCGAAACTAGAAACCCTGCTCTTTGGTTTATATTTCTTAATTCGAGCATGACTATATTAACGCCTTCTATAAACTGTCAACAAAGTCAATATTTCACCCAGTATTTATTCGTTGATACAATACTTGGTGTTTCGTTCAGTACTATATTTCTACCAAATGTAGTCTTGCTGCTAGTCTTGCTTCAAGACCTTTAACCTCCCCCCACCCTCCCTTAACAACCTATTCTAAAGTAGATGAGGGGGTTCCAGGGTCTTGAAGCAAGACTATTGGAACTCTTTCCATCAGATAAGCTAGGAGTGTCATAATATCATGTTAAGCATGTTGCCGATGGAACAATGTATACTATTGCTAACATTGTATTCTTAAAAACTTCTCTTAACAATCTGATGAAATATCTGTAGAAAATATTTCATCTTTCATTCCAGGCTATGGCCATATATCACCTGCAACATCTGGTGGGCAAGTCTTCTTCATCTTCTATGCCTTGTTTGGAATTCCATTCACAGCCATTATCCTTGGAGGAATCGGTGGACAATTACTGAAACTAAGGAATAAATTCATAGATAAAGTATTTAAGGACAGTGCTAAATTTAAGGAAAAAACTAAAGGTATAGTGTTGATAGCTTCTGTGATACTATTAGGATGGACTTTATTTGTTCTTTTGCCAGCTCTACTGTTCTCTATTGTGCAACAATGGAGTTATGGAACGGCATTATACTACACATTCGTCACACTCACAACTGTTGGTTTTGGAGACTATGTAGCAGGTAAATTGAACAAACTGTAAAATCAAAGAAAACATGTGTGAACAGTGCTGTCTTGGGTGAACACTGCTGTCTGAGTGAACACTGCTGTCTGTATGAACACTGCTGTCTGAGTGAACAGTGCTGTCTGTGAACACTGCTGTCTATGTGAATACTGCTGTCTGAGTGAACAGTGATGTCTGTGTGAACAGTGCTGTCTTGTGTGAACAGTGCTGTTTGTGTGAACACTGCTGTCTGTGTGAGCAGTGCTGTCTTGGGTGAACAGTGCTGTTAGTGTGAACAGTGCGTGACATATCCGTAATTCGCGTGAAAAGTCAGAACAAAATGCGTACGTTTTTTTCCCATAGTTCGTATTTTTGCTGTGTAGACGATCTTTTTTAGAAAATTTTCTACAGAAATATTTTTGCTTGACAATTACCAGGTAAAATGACAATTTCTGTCACGCAAAAATTACTGGCGTGACTTCAAATTCTTCAGCAAATGCGTGACAAATACGCAAATTGCGGGACAGTTGACAGGCCTGAGGTATGCACTGTCATTTTTGACCAATCAGAATGCAGTATAATCATACATAGTCTGAGTTCTAATATGATTATATTAATATCTTATTCATTCTAAGATACTGAATGTCACAAGCAGACTATTTGGTAAAAGAAATAGAGATAAACACAATTATTGGATTATAGTCTTCGTGCATATTGCAATCTATTCTCAAAGCCCATTAAAAGTAGGCTTAAACATTATGAATCTTGTTCCACTTGAAAAACAACTTGAATTTGACGTTAATTCTACAAGCTACAATTTGTTCAGTTCAACCTGGAATGATTATTCTAATCCCAGGTTTAACCATACTTTGAATGGGGGTTGTTCCAGACATCATCCACTTTGTTCTTTCTTCCTGGGAAGACGACATTAGGCGTATGATTTATCCCCGGGGATATATCCTGATCCAAATTGTTATAACATTGTAACAAGACACTTGTTAAAGACACCATTATTATTCCTTTGTGTTCTGGCGTGTCTTCTTTATTTAGAAATACACGTAAATATTGACTAGTTAATATAATTAAAATTAAAATAATTAAGCTGTTTTCTAGTTTCAGGAGATGTTGCAGACTAGGATTGAGAAGAATGCAGAAACTATGTTACAAAAAAAGAATGAGGTTTGTTACTTAAGATAATTGTTAATGTACCTAAAAAAAGTATGATATTGTCATCACCTTGGTCCCTCTGCCACTGCTTTCCTTCGGGAAATATTGATATCATCCTTGTGATATTCCCCATATCAAATCCCTCCTGGCGAATAACTTCTTTATATCAAAAGAGCCTTATATCACGTTAACAGTAAGTTTTTCTTTTCTGTTATTATAGAAGCTCAAAAAATTGTTAATGTATTACAAGATGAATGCTTCTCAAAATTTAAAAAAGGTGCAAGTAGTTAGTTCATTCAATTTGGAACTTGTTTAAACTGGTAACAAGGTCAAGAATTGGTCTATATCCAATTCTATATATTGTGTAAATTATATATCATTTTGAGTTCTATTTATTCGAAATAAATAATTGAAGTAAACCTTTTTTAGATTCAGGAGATACTAGAGGCAAGGAAAGAGAAGAATAAAGAAAAAAAGTATGAGGTATGTCATTGTAGATTACCCTTTACTTTGCATTCGTTCGACTTCACTTCTTAAAAGAGAGCTTCATCTAGTTTAACTAGACTCTGCACGCAGGTTATTGTAGATATAATTGCACACCTGTCAGCTGCAATTTGAAATCTGGAGATTTTCTGATTTTTGTGGGGCATCTACCAAAAATCTCTCATTTTTCTATGTGTTATTTGTGATTGTCTTTCGCTGCTGGGTGTGCAGGCATTCTTGTAGGCAGGCACCACATAAACTTTCAGGAAAACCACTAACCTTTTCAACTTAAATTTTACAGGTGCAAGATAGATTAGGGCCAAGAACTGATTTGAATTTGGGGATTTTATATTTTTAATTTAATTTTTATCATTGTGCGTCTTGTTATACTGTTATGCCAACGCCATAATTTGGTAAGGTGCTGGAGCATGTTATTTTATCAAGAAATGAAATAAATTCACAATATTAATCACCCGTTTCCGCCTGATGAAATGAAACTACATGCAGTATACAGTGTATTTACTAATAGTGAACTTCTTTTCATAATATGACGGTCACTTTCTCCTCCATTGTACGTATTTTATTTATTTAATTCATTTATCGAAAGCTATAGACATTATCTGATTGCTTTGGAAGTTTCGATAATCTATTCTAAAATCATAATAAAATGATATTTCCACAAAATTCCAGGTAAGTGTTGAGCCAGCCGATAAGGCAGAGCAGAACAATGTCACTTCAGCCACAAAACTGTAAGTTAACCTCTAAATTATATGGTGAAAGCGGTGAATGGATTGGAGGAGACTCAACCTAACTCTGTACTGGCAGTGTATATGTAACTGAATAAGTTACTGGTCAGTGAGATGGTTCAAAGTATTACTGCTGATAATCATATGACATTGGTTACAAAGAGGCTAGACTACCTCAATGATGTGCGATTACTGTGCAAGGGAGAGTGAGGCATTAATTAGATGGACAGTTTCAGCCTGATGTGGAGTTATATTTTTGCTTGGAATTTAACTTTCATATTAGAAGGACTTCTACAGTGAAAGCTTTTATTAGATGTTCAGTCAGTGGAGCAACTAAGAAATGCACCGATCGAGTTTAGGCAATAGCCACTCTAAGACACTGAGCCCTGTTGATTGTCATGGAAGTTTCCGTTTGTGACAAACTTGAGCTGAAACAATAAAAATCAATATATTTTGTTCCTATGTGGCACTGTTTTTGATTTTTATTAAAAAACTAAAATTGAAATGAGCAGACGAATTCTTCCAGGGTTATAAAGTGGAAACAATGCACTTTATTACAGTAAAACCTGTGTAAATTGAACATTTTTTGCAAAGAAGAAACGTTCAGTGTTGGTAGGTGTTCACTACAGAGAGGGTAATTATCCCATCGAACGTCTGTCCGTACGTACGTCCATCCGTCTGTCTGTCCGTCCGTCCGTCCGGGCAATAACTCAAATACCGCTGGCCCGATTTTGTTCATATTTTGTATACATATATCCAATGGGGGTAGAAGTTCTGCTCGAAAACTGATTTTCAAAATGGCAGCTCAAAAAAAATGGCGGCCATTTTAGTGCCGATTTTACAGTAATTTAGGTACTGCATATAAAACTGTAATAGCAATATGTTTTAATTGTAAAAAAGTTATATGAAACATTGATTAAGCTAGAAATGTAAATATAGAAGAAATACATGGCAGCCATCTTGAAAAATGGCTGCCTTTGCACGTCATTTTACGATTTTTGCTGTAACTTGAAAAGTAGTGGAGCGATTTTGTTCATATTTGGTATGTGAATACTTTAAGCATGGCACAATGTCCAATGACATTTTGGGTAGTAGGCGGCCATTTTGAAAAATGGCCGCTATTTTTACGTGTGTTATTTAACATTTTTTACTGTAAGTCAAAAATAAGTGGAGCGATTTTGTTCATATTTGGTATGTGAATACTTTAAGCATGGCACAATGTCTAGTGACATTTTGGCATTTTTACGTGTGTTATTTTACATTTTTTTAGCTCACATGGTGAGCTTTTGCAATCACTCACTTGTCCGTCTGTCTGTCCGTCCGTCTGTCCGTCCGTCCGTCTGTCCGTCAACAATAGTGGCACGTTTTAAAACCTCTGTCGATAGGATTCCTGTTTTAAGTTATTTCTGTTCAACATCAATTCAGAAAACTCCCCTATGACTCCTGGTTGAAAAGGGTAGATATATGAAATAATTTTGTTACAAAAAATCAGCGAAAAATTGTATCCATTTTTTTATTTTCAGCCATTTTAGTTAACATTGATTTGTCTATCTGACTCGCGAAATCCACTTTCTGTGGCACGTTTTAAAACCTTTGTCGATAGGATTCCTGTTTTAAGTTATTTCTGTTCAACATCAATTCAGAAAACTCCCCTATTACTCCTGGTTCAAAAGCTCGCCTATTTTCAAAATGGCCGCCATTTTTGTCTCGCGAAATTCACTTTTGACCCATTTCCTAGCTTTACAAATAATTTCAAGTGTCCTACATTGTAAAAATCCATGTCAATGTAAAGAGTAGATGTATGAAATAATTTTGTTACGAAAAATCAGCGAAAAATTATATCCATTTATTTATTTTCAGCCATTTTAGTTAACATTGATTTGTCCATCTGTCTCGCAAAATCCACTTTTGGACCATTTACCTTAACCCCTCTGTCGATAGGATTCCCATTTTAAGTTAATTTTGTTCAACATCAATACCAAAAACTCTCCTATGACTCTTGGTTTAAAAGCTCGCCTAATTTCAAAATGATTGCCATTCTTGTTTCGCGAAATTCACTTTTTGCCCATTTCCTAGCTTTACAAATAATTTCAGCTGTCCTGCATTGTAAAAAGCCATGTCACTGTAAAAGGTAGTTGTATGAAATAATTTTGTTACAAAAAATCGGCAAAATATTATATCCGTTTTTTGTATTTTCAGCCATTTTAGTTAACATTGATTTGTCCATCTGTCTCGCGAAATCCTCTTTTGGACCATTTGCTTAAAACCTCTGTCGATAGGATTCCAGTTTCAAGTTATTTTTGTTCAACATCAATACAAAAAACTCCCCTATGACTCCTGGTTCAAAAGCTTGCCTGATTTCAAAATGGTCGCCATTTTTGTCTCGCGAAATTCAATTTTGGCCCATTTCCTAGCTTTACAAATAATTTCAGGTGTCTTGCATTGCAATAAGCCATGTCACTGTAAAGAGTAGTTGTATGAAATAATTTTGTTACAAATTATTGGCAAAAAATTATAGCCGTTTTTTTTTCAGCCATTTTAATTGACTGAGAAAACAGATGGCTTGAAATAATTTTGTAACAAAAAATCAGCAAAAAATGTGACCATGTGAGCCCAGTACCCACGGTACTAATTTTATTATAACTCAAAAAGTAATAGAGCGATTTTGTTCATACTTTATATGTGAATACTATAAGCATGGCAAACTGTCTAATGACACTTTTGGTATAATAGTGGTCGTTTGAAAAATGGCCACCATTTTTACGTTTTTTTACTATAACTTGTAAAGTAGTGGAGCGATTTTGTTCATATGTGATATGTGAATACTTTAAGCATGCCACATTGTCTAATAAAACTTTGGGGAGTAGTCGGCCATTTTGAAAAATGGCCACCATTTTATGTGTGTTATTTTACATTTTTTATTATAACTCAAAAAGTAATAGAGCGATTTTGTTCATATTTGATATGTGAATACTCATAAGGATTGCATACTGTCTTATGAAAGTTTGGGTTGTAAGCGGCCATTTTAAAAATTGGCCAGTTTTGGCAATTTTTTAAGAATTTAATATGTGGCTACTTAAAAGCATATTACTTCTTCTGATGACAACTTGGCTAGTGATCAACCATTTTGAAAATGGTGGCCTTTCTTATGGGTGTTATTTTATGATATTTGCTATATATTTCAAATGTAAAAATGCCAGCCATTTCTGTTCGATTGGATTCGCTACGCTTTGGCGTTGCCGTTGTTCTGGTTTGAACAGAAGTCAGTAGAGTATGTGTGGAGGAAAGGTGTTCACTGAAACAGGTGTTCACTAGAGAGGGGTGTTCACTAAGACAGGTTTTACTGTATTTATAATCCAAATAAGTAAGTGTATATAAAAATAATATAGAAGCCCTTTGGAATGAAATAAAACACAAAATGAAAGTAAAATTAAACTACATGAAAAGAGAGGGTTAGAACTACCCTTAGAAATAGAAAAACCAAAAATCCATTTCTATCCCAAAGCATGTCTGCCACAAGCACATACATCAAATATACATGTTGTATCAATAAGAGGGTGACGAGGGAATTTGTTTTAGCGCCATCAGATATTTTCACACATAAAGGAAAAGAGTTATTCCCATTCCATTTGTGTATGATACGATGTTTCAGGGGCGGATCCAGGAACCAACAAGGGGGGGGCCCAAATTTCAGGTCATAGAAAAAAAAATTTTGGGCCCCTAAAATCCAAAAGTGGGCCCAAATTTTGAAATTTTGAGGCCCATTTTCTTGAAAATTTGGCCTGAAATTAAAGAATAAGGCCTTAAAAGGCCCAGTAATGACCAAAAAGGCCGACTTTTTGGGGCCTGAAGGCCTTGTTTGGCCCAAAAAATTTTTTGGGCTCAATTTTTTTTTCTCGGCCCACCCAAGGGGGGGGCCTGGGCCCCCAGGCCCCCCCCCCCTAATCCGCCAGTGTGTTTTTGAGTCACCAAGGAATTACAATTACAAGCCCTTAAAAATCTGTTGTTATTTGATTTCTTTGATATTAAAAAACAAATACATTTGATTCATTGAATATCTAATGTTATCACAAGGTTAGGAGTTTCTAAGCATTTTGATTGGTAATCTTAAGCTTTGCTTTCGTGGATGATGCAGTATTACCTTTCATGGAATATTTTCTGTATCCCATGCTGAAATGTATGATAACTGATAATATTTCATGTATCATGAAATTAAAATGTACTCACTCTATTAAGATAGACAACAATCAAGAGACTAGGGTGAGTTAATCATCTACCGTATTCTCTGTAATTAGCGCCCAGGTAATTCTGATACTTGCCTTTTTTAGTTGATTGGGAATATAGGTTTCATGTCTCCACCAAGGTGACATACTGTTATGGTGTCAAACTTTTTTGTGGACTGCAGTTTGCATCTTTTACAAATTCTTGTAACAAAATCTTACAACTCCTAATTACTCTGGATTCAAATCTGATTTAAGATTTGACCTTCAATGACCTTCTCAATGTCTAAAAAGGTCAAAAGGTCTTTTTACAACTTGCTTCGAATTGACCAGTTTTTTTTTTGTTCAAAATCATCTACAAGTTTTTAGAAATTCTAACTTTAGATTTGAGATTTGACCTTCTCAAGATCAAAAAAGACATAAAGACATGTTTTTTCAACCTTGTTTCAAATTGACAAAATTATTTTGTCAAGATCATCTACAAATTCTCAAATCTGACTTTAGATATGATCTTTGACCTTCAATGACCTTTTCAAGGACAAAAAGGTCTTTTTCAACTTGCTTCAAATTGACCCAATTTTTTCAAAATTATCTACAAGTTTCTCTGGCTTTAGTTTTGAGATTCAAACTTTGGTTGCCTTGTTTCTTTTTCTTTAGTTTTAAAGCAATGAAACATGTTGTGATCTTTTTTTTATTTGCATTGACAAAAGCTAAAACCAATTTTAGTTGATGTTTTGGTGACTGTGGAACTAATAAAATTAAAATGAGCAATAAAAAAGATTTATTCAGGATCACTGCATATCTTGGTGGGGTGTTATTTAACTTAAAATGCATGTAAAAATAGTTTTCTGTGTTCTTCATGAATTGAAGTGTTTAAGAATCTTAACAAGAAAATTGACTTACACTAGTTTTAATGAATGCAATATTAATTCCAAATCAATCAATATATGTCTGTATAAAACACATTCTCTCATTTTACAATATTAATTCAGTAGCACACCTACATACATCAATGTGAACTGTTTACACAACAAGATGGTAATTTAAAGATGTAAAATGTAAGCATGAACGATTGTTTAAATACGAGCATATTGCCCTTGTACCAACAAACTACGCCAACAGGTAGTGTGTACCTTTAAAGGCAGTTGGGTTCACATTCTAGGACTACAATCATTTATGTGTAGGAGTTGTCAAGGCAGTTACCAATATAAATGATCAGTTCAATAATGATATACATCCTTTGTACAAGCGTCTCAACATTCAGAGCTAATAATCATTAGGTGTGGTAGCATGTAAGAGTGGACTGTTGTGAAGACTGTAATAATATTGAATAAAATATTAATACAGTTAAAACACTGACTGTATACATGATTTTGATCACTGCAACCATATAAGGAATTTAAAATTAGGAGTTAGATGAGGATTTATCTACAGAAATTATATAGTGGAATACCCTTTGCAATCATTTGACTTCGATATCTCTGACAGAGAGCATTGTGCGTCGTATTCATAGCATAGTAGCAATCTAGCCTCTAGTCTCAGGATAATAGTGGAACAAACTCAGTATAATATTTTACAGGTATTACCACATAGTACAATAATAGTGGTCGTTAAACCTAAAGTATTTGTGATCAAAGATTTAAGTGTCAATAAGAATTTGGATTGTACTGCACAGAAACTTAAAGGCTACCAAGCCTAGACATAAGATCATATATAAACTGAATAGCTTGGCTCTAGAATATTAACTGCTATTCTCAAAAATATATAGGTTTTCTTTAAAAAGGACATTCACCAACAAAATGGATTGTAAAATTCTTAGTATTATGTGTGTGGGACTGGCGATATACCTGGTGTTTGGAGGAGTGATATTTCACTTTCTGGAACAACCAAATGAAAGTGAAACGAGACAAATAACCAGAGATACTCAATTTGAATTTCTACGTAAGTTCTCCTTAAGTTTTTTTTTGTATTTTGCTCAGCACTTTTACTGTAGCAGAACTCTGTATTGTATAGTTAATTTTCTTTTTAAGGCACTACAATGTTTTAAGCCCTCACCATGCTTTTCATGTCATGCTTTTCTGAAAAGTCCAACAGTTCTGATATTACTTCAGAATATAATTGATTTTTAGGGTCTAAAAAATTGAAAAGGGGAATTTCTCTTGGATTAATACATGTAATATCCCTGTATTAGGCTCATAGTATAGACACCTTGTATTGTTTTGACTTGAAAAACACATACACAAAAATAGACAAAATTAAGACAAAGATTCCTTTTTATAGATGTATTATTTCTCATCCTGATGTTTCTTTAAATTATTATGATATACCAATTTAATTAAAATTGATTTGTTTTTCAGGGAACTTTTCCTGTGTATCAAATGAGCAGTTTGAGCAACTGATACAGACTGTAATCAAGGCATATGACCAGGGTATTATAGCCACAAATTCTACAGATTCGGCATCTAACTGGGATGTAGCTGCTTCAATATTCTTCTCAACAACAGTTGTCACCACCATAGGTCAGTGATTGTCTGTTGTTTGTTTGTTTGTTTGTTTGTGAGCTATTTGTTTGATGAGTCAGTGTAAACTGTGAAGTAACTCTATTTGTTGCCTTAACAAGATATGGTCTCTAACAATGTTGTAACATTAGTTAAAGGTTATAACTTTAGAATATGTGTTATGGGGGATATTTTTGCAGTATAAAGTTTGCCATAAATACTTGTATAAAAGAAGGTTGATCTAGTGAACTTTTACTTTCTTTTGTGTATCACCTATTGATTATAGATCGGTATAGTCTGCAATATTTGATTTACAATGTCAAATTCTAGGATTATTTGCAAATTGATTACAAATATTTCGTATTTCAGTGTCAATAATGTTCCAATATCTCACCCCATGTATGTATGCATTAAATATTTGTGGTAACCATTTGAACAAGGAGAAATTAAGCATATTGAAGTCTGATCTCTTGAAAGCCTATGATTTACATTATCCTACTGCAACTGGGTTAAATGTAATAAATGTACAGTATATTAAAGATTCATAAAAACATAAAGTATAATCCCCAAAACCCCAAAATAGATTTTTTATACCTAGTGCTGTCCCCAGCTCCTATTTCGGTGATCGGCTAGTAAAAAAGGTTTGAGGGTATCATTTTGTTCCAGACACTCTCTAGAGTAAATTATCCTAACTTGAGTAAAAATGTGTGGTAAGTAAATTCGCTATGGGCAGTTAAAGAGGCGCCATCTATTCATTTTAAAACAGGGGGTAGGGGTATAAAATAATTTTTAACACATCTTAATAGTAAAATGACATTGAAATACTAATAAAATCTCACATGATTAACTTCCAAAATATGGAGCATATGTATCTCAAATGTACTCAAAATGGTGCATGTACTCTTGCTTTGTCATAATATTACTAATAAGAAGTAGAAAAATGATTGTACAATTTTAAAAAATATTAATTCTCATTTTGGCTTCTGACGTCCCAGGGATGACCATATCTCACCTTAATAACTTCCAAAATATGGAGCATATGTATCTCAATTGTGCTCAAAATGGTGCATGTACTCTTGCTTTGTCATAATATTACTAATAAGAAGTAGAAAAATGATTGTACATTTTAAAAAATATTAATTCTCATTTTGGCTTCTGACGTTCCAGGGGTGACCATATCTCACCTTAATAACTTCCAAAATATTGAGCATATGTATCTCAAATGTACTCAAAATGGTGTATGTACTCTTGCTTTGTCATAATATTACTAATAAGAAGTAGAAAAATGATTGTACAATTTAAAAAATATTAATTCTCATTTTGGCTTCTGACGTTCCAGGGGTGACCATATCTCACCTTAATAACTTCCAAAATATGGAGCATATGTATCTCAAATGTGCTCAAAATGGTGTATATAGTCTTGCCTTGTCATAATATTACTTATAAGATGTAGAGAAATGATTGTACATTTTAAAAATATTAATCTTCATTTTAGCTTCCGACGTTCCAGGGATGACCACTGACCATATCTCACCTTAATAACTTCCAAAATATGTAACATATGTATCTCAAATGTACTCAAAATGGTGTATATAGTCGTGTCTTGTCATAATATCACTAATAAGATGTAGGAAAATGATTGCACATTTTTAAAAAATATTAATTCTCAATTTGGCTTCTGACGTCCCAGGTCTGACCATATCTCACCTTAATAACTTCCAAAATATGGAGCATATGTATCTCAAATGTACTCAAAATGGTGTATGTACTCTTGCTTTGTCATAATATTATACTAATAAGAAGATTATACATTCAAAAAATTTTAATTTTAGCCTCTGACATCCCTCAATAACTTCTAAAATTATGTAACATATACAACTCAAATATACCAAAAATGGGGCATATGGTCTTGCTTTGTCATAATATTATTCATGAGATGTAGAAAAAATTATTAGACCTTTTTTGAAATGAAATTTTCATTTTAGCATCCGAATCTGACATCCCAGGGGCAACTATATCTCACCTTGATATAACTCTCACGATATGCAACATATGCATCTCAAATGCGTGCCCAAAATGGTATAAATATAGTCTTGTTTTGTCATATTTATTGAGATTCATGAAATCAGAAGTTCAGAATTTATGGATTGGACTGTCTCCCCTGCAGGCTTCAGCTACATAAAGTCCAGAGACATTAAGATCTACTTTCAAATATTTGCATCTTCTCCCCAAACACTCCTTATATTACAGGAACAATGGACGATAAGTCTTTTGCATGCCTTGGATGCAACATCTTTTGTATACTGGTAGCCTATCAGTAGTGTGAGTAGCCTAGCCTCATTTACCAAAATTGGCCCCTTAACCCCAAATCTGACACGAAATTTTGAAAATATCCTGAAAATTTAGGCCTAAAAGGCGCATTTATGCCCAAACATACACCAAACTGTCCCACTGCTAAATTACAAGGGTGATAAGTCGCTTCTAATCCTGATTGACATTCTCTAGTTTGCATGGTTTGTCATGTTGTGCTATATTGTTATTGCCCAATCTCAACAGTTGTATTCACTGTATGGCCTACCGTGCCAAGAATAATGCAATTGTTCCAAAAGCTAAGCTCTTCTTTGGGACCCTAGAAGTGTGGGACATCACAATCATAGATTAATATTTCATTACAATCAATGTATGTTGTATGACAAACATGCAAACTAGTGAATGTTAATGTGGCTAGAAAGATTTATCATTACAAAGAGCTCCTTTTCCCGTATTTTACATACTCAAAATCCCTTAATTCAGTGTATAATCCAAGGTGCATATATTGCAGGCAACAGGATAACATATTAACACCTTACATTAGCAGTTGCCATTACTTCATGAATGGAGTAAAGTACTCCCACTATTGACAGGCTAAAAGGATTCCTGTATGGATTACAAAAGATGTTGGATCCAAGGTATGCAAGGGAATAATCTCATCCATTGTACTTGTAAAGGGTGTTTGGGGAGCAGATGCAAATATTTGAAAGCAGATATTATTTGCCCTGAATTATATGTAGAGGAGACAGTCAAAATCCATTGATTCTGAACTGTTGATTTTATGATTCTCAATAAATATGACAAAACAAGACTATATTTATACCATTTTGAGCACACATTTGAGATGCATATGTTGCATATCGTGAGAGTTATCAAGGTGAGATAGCCCCTGGGACACCAGAGGCTAAAATTAAAATTTATAAAAAAATGCTACATTTTTCTACATTTCATTAGTAATATGAAAAAGACAGAATGAGGATTATATGTTACATACAGTATCTTAGAAGTTATTATTATTATTATATGGTGCGATATGATTACCCAGGAACGAAGAAGCTAAAATTAAAATTTTTGAAATGTATAATCATTTTCTACTTCTTATTAGTAATATTATGATAAAAAAGCAAGAGTACATACACCTTTTTGAGTACATTTGAGATACATATGCTCCATATTTTGGAAGTTATTAAGGTGAGATATGGTCACCCCTGGGACGTCAGAAGCCAAAATGAGAATCAATATTATTCTAAATGTACAATTATTTTTTTTTACTTCTTATTAGTAATATTATGACAAAGCAAGAGTACATTCACCATTTTTAGTACATTTGAGATACATATGCTCCATATTTTGGAAGTTATTAAGGTGAGATATGGTCACCCCTGGGACGTCAGAAGCCAAAATGAGAATTAATATTTTTTAAAATGTACAATCATTTTTCTACTTCTTATTAGTAATATTATGACAAAGCAAGAGTACATACACCATTTTGAGTACATTTGAGATACATATGCTCCATATTTTGGAAGTTAATCATGTGAGATATGGTCACCCCTATCCTGCATGATGCCAAAATTTTAAATTTCAAGAATTTTTTTCTCCGCCAGTACATAAGCAATTGATCCAATTTTAAGTATGTGGTATGAACATATATAGATCCTTCAGAATGAATTTTTTCAGTACATTTCGTACCTTAACGAATCTAAAATAAGTTATTACACGTGGTAGAAGTATGAAAATAGGTGGCGCCCCTGTAGTGAATTTCAAAATATGCCCTTATTTTCACCCTAATTCACACAAAAAAATTCATACTGATTGTAAATAATGTTTTTGATAAGATTTTATTAGTATTTCAATGTCATTTTACTATTAAGATGTGTTAAAAATTATTTTATACCCCTACCCCCTGTTTTAAAATGAATAGATGGCGCCTCTTTAACTGCCCATAGCGAATTTACTTACCACACATTTTTACTCAAGTTAGGATAATTTACTCTAGAGAGTGTCTGGAACAAAATGATACCCTCAAACCTTTTTTACTAGCCGATCACCGAAATCGGAGCTGGGGACAGCACTAACCTCATATTTTAAAGGTTTAAGAATTTGTAAGATTCAACCACAATTAGGTTATGTTATCCATCTAAATCTAGTGCTATATTAATAGTATTTGCCCAATCATTTTTATGTCACCACCACAATATTGTAATAGTCTGCAGGTGTTTAGCATTTGGCAGTCGTCGGTTGGTGTTCGGCATCTGTAACAAATGGCAGGTGGTGATATTATGAATGTTAATACCTTGTTAAACAGTTAGAGGCTAGGAGAGGTTTGCTTAAGATCATGACACTGGTAGCATCTCTCTCCTGGCTGATCCAAGATCCACAAGTTGTTATATGTACAAGTACAAGCGCCTGTATTGGTGTCTCCCTTGGTTACAAAGGTTGTTATGACACGCATGTTTATCGATTTCATCTCTATTGTTAATAAAGAATATGATGACCTCATAATACCTAATTGTCTCAATTATATCTTGTTGCGATGATTGAATTTCATTGGAACAATAAAATATTGTTACATTAAAGTATTGTATTTAGAAGGGCTAGAAGGGACCTGATGCATTCAACATCTTTATAGATCTATTCTTTTGAAAAATTGGCTGATACAGTCAATCATATATGTATACTAAATATAAATTGTTGTATATTTGAGTGAATTTCCATCTCAGTTCTGAAATAGATTTTTTTATCAAACTCTATTGATTGTGCAAGTTACTGTCATGTCATTTTGAATTTGCTATCATCCTTCGGGGATGACAGATTAACAGTGTGGATGAAATTTCATTCCTTCAAAGCCATCATAGTTGATCATAGTTAAAATATGATTGATTTTTGATGGTTGTACTGTAGTTGCTAAGTGAACATTTGCATTTTCTCCTGTTGCTTTGCAAACAACTTGAAGAAGAAATCAATGAAATAGACAAGAGTTGGCAGTTGTTCATTGTATATAGAGATGAATCAATCAATTACTCATAGTGCCTTTGAGTGTACTTTTTTATGGAAAATTGAATACAAGCATGATAACTCATAGAGTCAAGTGTAAATATTTGCTTTTGCAAGAAGAATTGTTTCCGATTTCATTTATTTAATAAGGATGGACAAGAAAATATAATTGTCAATCATATTTTAGAACTGCTGTACATGAATACCTCTAATGTGACCATTGCACAATTAGATCTACATCTTTTAATTTTAGCCAACATCCATGTGTCCATGCTGTGCCCCACATTGGCCAATGGTTAGCCCTATGTGACAGCTCCTAATTAGTATAGTAGATCATAAGGGCAACTGGGCTGCCATCTTTTATGTACATTCTCTTTATTCCACAAACCCTATGTAATATGAAAAATTGTGTTCACTTTTGAGAGTTCCTTTGAGTTATTGCTGAACCTCTAGAATCAATTTTGACACTGCATCTTGAACTGTAGATCCACACTGACAATCCAATTCATATACTCTTTAAAATGCTTAACAACTAATTTATACATGTTTTCCTCTTTTATTTCAGGCTATGGCCATATATCACCTGCAACATCTGGTGGGCAAGTGTTCTTCATCTTCTATGCCTTGTTTGGAATTCCATTCACAGCTATTATCCTTGGAGGAATCGGTGGACAACTCCTGAAACTGAGGAATAAGTTGAAAGAAAAAGCACTGAAGGGCAATACTAAACAAAATGAAAAAACAAAGAATATTGTGATGGTAGTAGCTGTGATAGTAGTAGGGTTGATTATCTTTGTATTCTTGCCAGCAATATTGTTTTCTCTTGTGCAACAATGGAGTTATGGTACAGCTCTGTACTACACGTTCGTCACACTCACAACAGTTGGTTTTGGAGATTATGTCGCAGGTAAGAAGCTGTCAGATGGTCAGATTTTGTAGAAATCCCAATTTAACGTTTCTGTTTGCAAGCAATTATATGGGCTTTGTATAAAAAACCTCACACCCACGTATTTACGTACGTGGGTGTAAGTACGTGGGTCGTGATACAGTCTTTGAAGTCTTCAATTTATAAAGACTCGTTCAAAGGGAAAAATCTACGCTAAATTAGTTTTAAATATGTTGAGGATTTGCTAAATGGAATTCTGTGTTTCATTAGCTCACATGGTGAGCTTTTGCAATCGCTCACTTGTCCGTCTGTCTGTCCGTCTGTCTGTCTGTCCGTCAACAATAGTGGCACGTTTTAAAACCTCTGTCGATAGGATTCCTGTTTTAAGTTATTTCTGTTCAACATCAATACAGAAAACTCCCCTATGACTCCTGGTTCAAAAGCTCGCCTATTTTCAAAATGGCCGCCATTTTTGTCTCGTGAAATTCACTTTTGACCCATTTCCTGGCTTTACAAATAATTTCAGGTGTCCTACATTGTAAAAATCTGTGTCAATGTAAAGAGTAGATATATGAAATAATTTTGTTACAAAAAATCAGCGAAAAATTATATCTATTTTTTTATTTTCAGCCATTTTAGTTAACATTGATTTGTCCATCTGACTTGTGAAATCCACTTTTCCGTCAACAGTGGCACGTTTTAAAACCTCTGTCGATACGATTCCTGTTTTAAGTTATTTCTGTTCAACATCAATACAGAAAACTCCCCTATGACTCCTGGCTCAAAAAAATGTATGAAATAATTTTGTTACGAAAAATCAGCAAAAAATTATATCCATTTTTTTTATTTTCAGCCATTTTAGTTAACATTGATTTGTCCATCTGTCTCGCAAAATCCACTTTTGGACCATTTGCCTTAAACCCTCTGTCGATATGATTCCTGTTTTAAGTTAATTTTGTTCAACATCAATACAAAAAACTCTCCTATGACTCTTGGTTCAAAAGCTCGCCTATTTCCAAAATGGTCGCCATTCTTGTCTCGCGAAATTCACTTTTGGCCCATTTCCTAGCTTTACAAATAATTTCAGCTGTCCTGCATTGTAAAAAGCCATGTCACTGTAAAGAGTAGTTGTATGAAATAATTTTGTTACAATAAATCGGCAAAATATTATATCAGTTTTTTTTATTTTCAGCCATTTAAGTTAACATTGATTCGTCCATCTGTCTCTCAGTCAGTCCAAAAAAGTGGCAAGTTTTAAACCTCTGTCAACACTTTTTAAATCCTCTGTAGATAGGATTCCCGATTTAAAATAATTTTGTTCAACATCAATAAAGAAAAAAAACCTGTGACTCCTGCTTCAAAATCTCGCCTAATTTCAAAATGGCCACCATTTTTGTCTCGGGAAATTCACTTTTGGCCCATTTCCTAGCTTTACAAATAAGTTCAGGTGTCCTGCATTGTAAAAAGCCATGTCTTTGTAAAGAGTAGTTGTATGAAATAATTTTGTCACAAAAATTCTGCAAAAAATTATACCCGTCTTTTTTATTTTCACTTTTGAGCAACACCATGTGAGCCCAGTACCCACGGTACTAATTTTTTTACTTAAGTCTCAGGGATCATAAAGCAGGGTTGTAATACAATCTAAATCTGGAAATAAAGTGAGACCTTTTAGACAAGTTCCATGAAATTCCCAGCAAAAAAAATTATGAGTGAATTTATAATTTTTTGAAAGTATATACAGAATTAAAAGGGCAATTAAGAAATTATGTGAACAAAAAATCATTATAATCATAGACTTTCACTACATCCAGGAATATGGATAGATTAATTCATGCTGATACGAGTTTTTGATTTAATATTTTGAGGGGTATATATCCCCCCCAAAAAATCGTGGTGGGTACATCTCCCCTAAAAAAATTTGCTATCATTGATCAAATGTGAAGACACCTAGACTTTTTACAAACATATAGTATGTACATGTGTTATGTTTTCAGGTATAGACACAAATATATCAGGGTTTGGTTCGCAGGTTGTCTATAGGTTGTTTGTTGCACTCTGGATACTCATGGGATTGTCCTGGCTGGCAGGCTTACTATCACAAGTAAGTATTTCAACCCTTGTTTCTATCATTGAATAACATAAATGCCATATAGAATTACAAAATGATTTTGTTTGCCATATATCCTGCCTCTCAACAATTTCTCCAACAAAAAGTCCTTTAAAAACTACTTTCTGAAATTTGAAACAAAAATTCACATATCACATTTTGATAACATTGGACAGACTATAATGTAAGCCAAAGTGACCTAAACTTTAAATGGGGCCTTTAACTTTGAATTGCTTTAAGTATAAACTGTAGTAAGATTCTGAGAATATAATCACTGAAAATTCAGGTTGTTCGCAGTTAGCTTACCACAGTAATCAAAAACTGCTGAACTAGAAGTACATCTACTCAAATATGCTACCATCAATAAATTGCACATATTGCTTAAGCCAGTTTTTGTGACTGGCATGGAAATGGCCTAATATATACATGATTAAATTGTTTTGTAAATAGTTTCAGGATATGCTAGAGTCTAGAATTGAGAAGAATGCAGACAAAATATTGAACAAAAATGAGGTATGTTTCACAACATGATTAAGAAAGACAAAGGAGGGTTATGTAAGCTTTTGATTGTGATGCATATACATTATATCATTAAATGCACTTTCATCATTGTGATAAGTATGTAATTTGTAGTTGATGTTAATGGTGAATTTGTTTAAATGGTTCATTTTAACTCCAGAAGGTAATACATTAGTGTTCAAGTATTTTGGTCTGTTTTGATTGATGGAATTAACCATTGATCCATGGATTTACATTTAGTGAGATATAACATTTATCCAGTCCCTGAATTTCCTATGTAAGGCTTAATTTCTACAGTTTTTATTGAACAGTGATGACATATATTGTTCAACCTTTTTGTGGACGGCAGTCAGTGTTCGGTGTCTGTAAGAAATGGCAGGTGGTGACATATTGCATGTTAATGCCTTCTATCATTCTGTTGTCAAACCTGTATAACTGAACACATTTATTATCTAAATACTTCTCGAGATGAACACTTTTTCCAGTCTCAATTTGTAGTCTCATATTGACTCCCTTGTTCAGGAAACTTTGGAAATGTGAACATCTGCTATTTTGAACACTTGACTGGTCCAGGTGGTGTTCACATTAGAAAGGTTTTTGTATTCTCAGTCATTAAATTAAAACAAGAGAAGGCCACGACAACTCAATGAATACAAAAATGACATTGAGTATTGAGTGCAAATGTTTTAATTAATATTTTAATTCTCAATTTTGTGGTGGCGGTTGGTGTCTGGTGGTTGGTGTTCGGTGTCTAACAAATGCCAGGTGACATTTTGCATGCTAATGCCTTGTTGCATTTATATTGCATGTGACAACATGTCAATTAGATCTACTCTGATTGCTTTAAAAATGTTAATAACTAAATTAATGATGCTATTTCAGGTCAGTGCTGAATCAGAGAACAAGAAAGAGCATAGCAATAATACATCATCCACAGAACTGTCCACTGTTAAATCAACTAATATGTGATTCATGTGAACAATACAAACATGACTACAGAAATGTATACAGAAGCAGCTTATGAGGTACATAAGAACCCGCACATACAAGCAGTGAGTGCCCAATTGTGAGGGGACCCTTTTTCAATGCCCCAAAGCAAGAACATTCTCTCAGATTGTAGCCTACATACATGTATGATAAGAATGCACATATATCGCTTTGTGTATGCAATACTTTGATGCTGGTCAAAAAGAGGAACTTAGTGTTACTACTGATGTGATTAAGACTATGGCTCAAAACACTCTGATTGTTCATGGACACATTCAAAATTTTTATTGCTTTACACAATCATCATAATGCCATTGGCTGATTGTCCTAGAGATTGTAGTACTGGAACATTCAAGAATTTGACCTTCATCATGTAGATACTGAGGATGTACGCTTTTATTTGGAGTGATCAAATTCATAAACTTAAAAAAACTAAACTAGCATTCATAAAAAGATCATTTTTAGTACTATGCCTATTGCCTAATTACATGTATATCATGTTTTGAGTACATGTATTTCGATTCATTTATATTTTTACATTTTTCTTAGATATTCAAGACATCTACTTCATATATTTTTTTAACTTTTAAGTCTAAATAATAAAAATCACTATGCCTTTGTATTTTAAAATGTTGATTCAGAAGTTTAAATAATGAAATCAAAGGTTATTAATTAAAAAAAAATTGCGCTAACTCAGGTAACTCAATGTTAAACCAAATATTATGGTTTCAAAGTTAGGCCATTCAAAGTCATTCTATGCTTTACTTCAGGCCAAAAAATAAACAAGGAAACAAGTAAAAAACACAAAGCAGAGTAAAACAATCTTATTTTCCAGGATATAATATATGATTTAAAAAACTTTTATATTTAGTTGTAGAGTAAGTAATGTAAATACATGGAAAACACATATTTGCATGAACTTTCAATGTACTGTATTCATTCTTAATTTGGCGCAACTTCATTTTGTGATTTTTGGAGATCAGATATATTGTCTTCTTTTAATTTGGCAGTTTTTCAAGGGAATGAATCTCATATCTATATCTAGCATATACCCTCCCGCCTAATCCAGTTTTTTGTTGATGAACAATTTTAAATGCTCCAAATAAAACAATTTAAACAGCCCTGGGCATCTCATAACTGTAAGTTCACAGAAAGAAAAACAAGTCAAATTCCTTGGGATTTTGGCGTTACAAGATAATTTCAATTGATTTTAATAAAGATTCTGATTTATATGACATATCATGTTTTGTTGTTTGTTTGTGCATTTATTTATCAAGGTCTCCCATTTCTTAAATGATTATATCAGAATATTTATTGGCTGAAAGGGAGTCTATCACAATAAGGTATTCAACCCCTATACCATAGCGTATAGCAATGCAATATCATAACAAAATGTCACAACCTGTTTCAACACAGTATGAGTTTCAAGTCATCCTGATGTCATTTGAAAGATGCACTGTCCCATGCTTCTCACCCTGAAAATCAGGAATATCTTACATACCTTAGATGTATCTTGATTCTAACTTATTGGCACAATGCTGAGGATATATTGAGAAAATATGTAACTAACTGTCAGAATTGATTGTAATTTGAGCTATTCGCCATTGAACGGAATTCCTGTCATGTGACATCAGTGTCATCAAGTGACTAGAACCAAGGCTAGAACACCAGTCACAAAAAATGGAGGCCGTAACAATATGGCATCACTTCTTGGTGAACAACATAAAATAAGCTACAGTGTATGCATCAAACTACAAAATATTTTTTAAGTTTAAATAAATATTTATTATGAAAAATACTATTCCAGAACATTCATGAAATACCATGCATAAAAGTAGAAAATATGACATTAGAAATGTTAAAAAACAATTATTCAAAGGTAGAGGATGGGGGATGTCATCAATGTAGGTAATTGTCCAACAAATAGATGTATTGAGTGTCTGACAATTACATATATGTAATACATTTCCTCTCTGTCCTTTACAAGGTATCTCAAATTTCTGCATTTGTAGATCGAGAGCAAGTGTAATGCTGATTCTATTTAAATGTAATTAAACATGTAATACAGATGCTTCAGATACATTCGAAATGTCTATTAAAACATTTGGTATTTACTTTATATTTACAGAGAAATTATCTTTTCAGACATGTTCCACTGATTGTCTTTGAGATGTTAAATAGAATACACTCTTACAATTGAATATGTAAATATGAACACAGTTTATCAATTCCAACATATCAAACACCGTACATACACTGCAAGTATTATTTTTAATTATTATTTATTTTATTAAAGTGTCACCTATTGTACAAAATAGCCAGCCCAATCTGGGCTTATGTGACACATTAAACATTTAATTATTAATCTTATATATGTGATTCTTTAAGTATATACAGTAGTACGGATATACATGTATTATAATTGTGAAAATTCCAGAAATTCAATTGAAGTAAATTTTATTCACCTTATGTAATATTATGTTTACTGTTGTAAAATGTAACTTATTACATTTGTAAATGAGAAATTTTACAAGTAAATTTTCTATTAATTACAATACAAACCTATTCCATGACATATGCTAATACCCCTAATTTGGAAAAATGGGCAAGTCCAAAAACAACAGGATAACCTGAATCCCTCTAGGTCAACTGACCTAACACCCCTTTATATGCTATATCTTCATAATTGTACGCAGTAAAACTTAAAAATACTGCGGGGAGGCCGGGTGGGCCTATGGTCATGGAATAGGTTTGTATTGTAATTAATAGAAAATTTACTTGTAAAATTTCTCAATTACATACAATCCAACCTATTCCATGACATATGCTGAATTAAAAGTAAAGGAGGTGGGACCCCGATTAAGCCCAAAAGTATAATAAATATATATACACAAGTACTTATAATAAAAAGTAAAATTCATATTACCAAAAAGTACTCTGATCTCACAAACCATAGTGATCCCTAGTAGATCAGCCACCATCATCCATTGTAAGGCAGAGGCTGTGACACATCTGTAACACTGTTATTGTCCTATCATAGTGAGCAGTCTTAGCCATCTAAGGGTAATGACCAACTCCTATGAATAGAGACTGGTTAACCAAGGATGGGCCGTTTAACCAAACGAGGCAACCTTGCAGTTCTTCAAGGGTCCAGGTCACAAGCTAGTTGAGTTGAACCCTTCTGCAAAACAGTTCAGCTACACATCTGGGAGACTTTATGTCCTTTCACAGTGAGTATCCTTACCCATCTAAGGGTTGCGAATAACTCCTATGAATAGAACTGGTTAGCCAAGGATGGGCCGTTTAACCAAACAAGGCAACCTTGAAGTTCTTCAAAGGTCCAGGTCACAAGCTGGTTGAGTTGAACCCTTCTGCAAAACAGTTCCGCTTACACAATAACTGGATAGACAAGGAATGGCTGTGTACAAAATAAAGACAACCCAAGTCCACCCAGTGTTACTTCCAATCACCAGACTACAGTGCAATACTGAGTTGGTAACAAGTTGCAGAGTACTTAAGGTTGTATAAAGTTCTTGAAGTTGTAGACCCACCTGCAGCTTGGATGAGATATACTTGAGATAATCCAAGCCATTGTTGTAATTCTTGTCAGTGTAGACAAAGGCATCATCCTTTCATCCATTGGAATTCTAGGAAGCTGCCGATAAATCAACTACCATACTTCACAGCACAGGGTCCTAAAGGAACCAGTCTTGCATACAAAGTGAGGTGGTACACACAACATCTTGTCTAGTCTCTGCTCTCAGAGTTGGATGTTAGTTGACTAAACATCAAGTCTGGACCAGCGATGATCATAAAGCCGTTTCAGCCAACTTGTAGAATGGTTTAACGACATAGAACAATACCACTACACATCTGCTAAGGGCTTCTTGTCTTTTGGATCCATAACAAAGTTACATGGAGCAAGACACCTCTGTAGACCCAGCCAGTCGAGGTTGGTACAGCCACCAGATAACTACAGGGATAAGTCAAACCATCTTCTTTGTAGTACCAATTAGTATTCATCATAGAACAGATCAACCATTACTGCTGACCTGGGCAAGAAGAGACATCTTCCATCTGGCCAAAAGAAGTTCTTCAATGGACAAACTAGTGCATCTAGACAGTCTATCCATCTGAATAAAACTGTAACACAGCTTCCCTAGTAGACACAGTGGTACATCAAGCACAAAGTAGAACAGCATACAGGTCCATACTTATCTATAAAGGATTAGTATGGAGATGAATCTAAAGGTGGTTGGAAACAAGCTTGCATTTGTTGGTAAACCTGTTAGACATCTTTAAGAAGATGAGGATATCACTGTTATGATTGTCTATAGTGCCAACAGAGCATAACAGAAAGTATTTCACTGCCATCAAAGCACTGCTAAGTGTTGTTCCCACAAAGAGCTTGGCTTGGAATGCAACCTTCAATTGTTGTATTCGGCATTGTAGTTGATAACTATTGGATTGTGGTTAGAACATCCATCTGTCCAGGTTGTAAACAGCAAACATCATAGCTAGTGGTGCATATTGACATCCTACTGCAGAAGAATTCAGAAACTCACTGGATCAAAAAATTCTTGGCCTGGAACCAAAAACTTTCAAATGTTCTTCACAGGCTTGCAAAAGACAGACTAGTGGTATCTTCAATGGATAGTACATCTATCTGTCTATAGGAGTATAACAGCATTGAACGTAGATTCTCCTACAAAGGGAAGCACTACTAGTATAGTATGAGAGTATAGTAGTGCTAGATAAACCAAAATCTGTGTCCAAAAACGTAACCTTTAAATTCATCCAGGTTTGTAGTTGGCAGCACTGGTTGACAAGAATAGTCAGCTTTTCTCCCGGGTCTGTCTAAAGCTACCAAGAGCATACATCATGGATGTAGGTGTATTGGAACACTACAGTATGTAGTAAGGTAGTGCTGGATCCACAAAGTTCTTGACTTGGAGCATAACCTTTGTAGATCAAACTTGGCTTGGAGTTGAAACTCTAGTATCATCAGGCCCGCATGGTCATCGAAGTACTACTGCATGTGTCTACCAGTCAATTGTTGGATCCATACAACGCTTGGTCCAGGAACATTACTTTTCAGTAGTCTTAAGCCAAACTTGCAGTTGCTCAAGGGAAAAAACTATATCATAAAAACATGATAAGTTTATCCAATTGGTTAAAACTTCCAGCATTTTACTAGTTAAATAGTAGTATAAGTACTATGAACTAGTAATAATATAAAACCAAATGAAGTCTGGACTGGAGTGAATCCTTAAAGCAATCCAGGTCCAAAAAGCCCAAGATTAATTCCACAAATAAAGTGACTTGTAGTTTCTCAATGGAAAAAACAATATCATAAAACATGATTAGTTTATCCAATTGGTTAAATTTACCAACCTGTTCTAGTTAAATAGTAGTATACGTACTATGAACATGAACTAGTAATAAAAAAAGACCAAAAGGAGTCTGGAACTGGAGTGATACCTGAAGGAAATCCAGGCCCAAAGACCACAAAGATGAATCTCACAATAAAAGTGACCCGCAGTTTCTCAGGGGAAAAAACTATATGATAAAAAACATGGTCAGTTTATCCAAGTGGTTAAAACTACCAGCCTTTTACTAGTTAAAAAGTAGTATTAGTACTATGAACATGAACTAGTAAAAATATAACACCAAATGAAGTCTGGAACTGGAGTGAAACTTTAAAGCAATCCAGGCCCAAAAACCTCAAAGGCAACTTTCACAATCAAAGGGATGTGTTTTCAATATGAGATGAAAACCACCTTGTTTGAAAATAATAACCAATCCACGAATGAATAAGTACTATGGTTATGAATAAGAACGAAAATGAAAGAAAACAACTTAGTAAACATTATCCTTGTAAAATTAAAAATAATGAAACAAGATTTGAAAACCAAGATATCCAAAATGATTGTAGAACAAACATCCTATGCCCTGGTATAAATAAAAAAAAAAGAATGAATATGTTGTGACCAGAAGGCATTAATGAGCCATTCAATGTATCTTAAAGTAAGGCTTCTGTAAACTAACTAATTTTACACGAATGTAAAATTAGACCTAAAATTAGTTGATGAATAAGAAATACAAATGTAAAAGCTGAGTGTATCTGTAAGCAGAAAACAAACAGAACATAGAAAACAAGTGATGTGAAGAGTAGCAAGTGAATGAAACGTTCACATCTCTTAAATTGTCAAAAAGACTAATATTAAATTAATTGACTGCTAAACCACACAATTCCATAAAGTGCTGGAACCAAGAACCCTACAAAGGGTGTAAAGTGATTAAAGATGAGAATTAACTACATCTAGGAACAATGCAGATTCAATCCAACTGAAAAATATGTTATCTAGTCAAGCTAGTTACTAAACTAGAAACAAAGTTGAGACTAATTCCATACTAATAAAAGTAAGAAAAAAGAAACAAGATCAGCAAAAAGATCTTTAAATACAAGTAAAGTGTAATAATAATTTACACTCATCAATCAGTAGAGTTCTTAGAAAAACTCCACCTATTCATAATCCCTGAACACAACATTTCAAAAAAGAAAACACTGTTCAGTGGATAAGCACAGCTTGAATGTAATGATTACTGAGTGAAAAACTAAGGAATAGTCATTCAAAGCAAAGAACTCCAACAAAGCTACTGTAGGTGCATGAATAAGGGGAATAACCTTATGAACCTAGAAGGCCATCATTACATAATATACTACACAATAAGTATAGTCATGAACTCAAAGGATTAGAACCCTAGGGCTAGTAAAAGTATACTAGTATAGGGTTAAAGAGTAAAGGTCCCTTATAGATAGGTTCAAAGTATGAGTGAAAAACCTTTACAAAAAAAGATAATACAAGCCAGTAGGGGTCAAATAAAGTTCAACTGGGTCTGAACTTATTGTCCCAAAGACAAGCTAGGCTAATCTAAAATTGACTGTTAGCTAAGCGTGTAGCTTGAAAATAAAATCCATGGAAGGATTTCCTAAAAACTGACCTGTTTCTAGTGTTAGAAGTACACTAAAATACAACCACAAATGAGCTCACTGCACTGAAGAATGACTTGTGACTCTGTCCAAGTACCTTCTGCTGCTGAGGAGACCCTGCTGAGGTATAGTCTTGAAGATCTACCATGGGATGGTGGGCACCAACTCCCTCAGTAAACTGCTACTCAAGTTGTGCATGCTTCTAATATGCACCTTGCTGTCCCAAAGATCGGCTACTTGGTCATCTGTGCCAGTTCAGATTGTAGATTTTCCAACTACTGTAAACTATCACGTTGACTAGGTTCCCGTAACAATCTGGTAACCCCTAGTCCTGCATATATCTGCCATCAATTTACCAATTATCTAAGAAACTTCTAGCAGATAGAGTAAAGAAACTGGACTCTAAAATTTTTCCACTTTTCCATACATAGGCAAGTACAATTATGAAGATAAAGCATATAAAGGGGTGTTAGGTCAGTTGACCTAGAGGGATTCAGGTTATCCTGTTGTTTTTGGACTTGCCCATTTTTCCAAATTAGGGGTATTAGCATATGTCATGGAATAGGTTGGATTGTATGTAATTGAAGTTGTAGAATATCCTCATTATGTTTTTGATGGAAATCTGAGATTACAATCTTTACAATGCTTTGTTCTCATGGCAAGAATAGCATTAAAAACATGTTCCAAAATGTATTTTGATGTATGTAAATGAAAATGTTTGACTTTGGTATTATACCCTAATCTACATGTGTTATATAAATGTATGACAAACCTCTAAAGGCATTTAAGTGCTTATTACAAATATTTTAAATACTGTAAGGTTGCAATAAAGAAAAGAAAAATATGATGTGAGTAAATATAAAGAAGTTATTCACCAGGAGGGATTTATCACTTGATGTTACCTGATATAATTGCTCTGACCATGGTATAAGATGTATTATACCACTCTAAGTCCAATTACAGTTGTATAACATGGGTCTATAACAACGATATACAGTGGAGAGTGGTATATCGTCATCGTATACAACTCCTCCATATACACTCCAGCCTATACCACTGTAGAAGTGCATTCTGGGAACTAATAATCATGAAATTTGTCATGATTTCCTAGAATCAAGTGACGTCATAAATGGTTCGAGATCAACATCAGCATTACTGAGTTGGCTATGGGATATTTTTATGGTTTTTAATTGTTATGATTGTGTTCGAATCAACTGTAATTGAACTTAGAGTGGCATAATAAGATTATATAATGGTTCATTCTGTATATCATGCATTTTATACTCTCGTGAGAATATAATATATTCACTCATTCGCTACGCTCACTTGTGAATATATCATATACTCACTCGAGTATAAACACGATATACAGAAAGAATCATTATATAACCTCATAATATACAAAGTGAGTAAATATGTGAAAGCATGTGTAAGCATGTAAAAGCTTGTGTAAGCATGTATTTGATACAGTAACTTAGAACCGCAGACTAAACACACAAACACCATATTTGGTATAAGCATATAAGTTATGTACAGTCAAGGACATTCAACTTCAAATGATATATTATCCACTGAATTCACCAATTTGGGACTTGCAAGCAAAAAAGATTCAATATTCATATTTACAAAAATATGGAGTCAGAAATTTGAGGCAAACTCCACCTTTTCCAAATGTCAACCTTTTCCGATTGTCAGTTATATACTCGTACTAGATAAAGTACTGTATTTCTACTTAATTTGGGGGACATTTCGATTTTGGCAAATCCGCCAAATTGTTTAAGTCCACCAAAATAGGCAGCCACCAAATTCCCCAGTAATTTTAGTACCGTGTAATAAAGTTCCATTTCTACATTGCAATATTGCTAGTCCACTAAATTAAGCAGCTGCCAAATGTTCAAAATAGTAAATCTGCCAAAATTACATGCCAAATTAAGTAGAAGTACAGTATGCAGTGTCATTATTAAACTTACTTGACCAATTATATACATCTAGAAATGTGATTTGTAATCACTTTTCTGTAGTTAACTCAAGATTCTGTAAACTGTAGAAAAAGTCATAAAGGTCCATGCCTATAACCTATAGTGGTTCTTTCGCTACAGCACCTCGACTCACCTCTTCATTTCTCCGAGTCCTTTGATTTAATTGCATTTATATTTTTAAGCAGCTTGTAATTTTTTGATTTCAACCTCCTATGCTGTCACTGTGTTAAATTATGTCTGCTCATATATACACTGGTAAACTGTTCAATGCATTAGAATATACAATTCTTTCGTAGCACATAAGTGACCCTGTTGTACATCAAAGTTAGCATTACTTAATTGTGCATCATGAATCCATAGTCATTTACGCAGAGTTGATATTTTGCCTAGAGTCACATCACCATATGGAGCTTATGTGAGAAGACCAGCCTGGTCTGACCTCCTGAATCCAAGCATTCTCCCAGCTCGTCTACAAGCAGAATATTTAACATATACAATTTTTTACATAAACAAGACTTCATATAAAACCAAAAATAGTTCAAATTGACAATGTAAAGTTCTCTTTATGTGATTATATTAACAGTTCAGCTTAGAAATGATTCTGAACATATCTAGACAAGCAATGAATTTTCAATCTGTGTGAGTTTTCATGTTCAAATCGTAATAAAGACCTCAGAGCAGGTGTAATATCGATGAATACACCCCTTAGGGCTAGGCACAAAAGCTCCCTTCTGTCGTTCGGGGTACAGAAAACGTTTGAACCTAGCCCTGTGGCACATATTCGTCGATATAACACCTGCTCTTCGGTTTATATTTCTTAAATATATTATAACAATCAATTAATACATTTTCTAGATTTGTATGTCAATTACAGTTGAGTTTAATTGATATGCCATACCTTCGAATAATGTAACACCTCAATCCAATTCCAAGAACAGCCACGACAACAACAACAATGGCAGCAATGGCATAAGGGAAAAAGCCTGCAGGATCATCATCACCATTGGTGTCATCATCTGTATGATGTTCACCATTGGAGTCATCATCTGGTTCTTTCTTTCCAACGTGACCAGCTAAGTCTGTCAAAATATGAATAGATATTATAGGGTCTGTCTTTTATGACTACATTGCATAAATTACGACTGTATAAATAATGGATATACTTAAGTGGTTAGGTGTTGTTCACCTTCATTGTGGTGGTAAACAAAATACAATACAATACAATACAATGTAATGTAATGTAACGTAACGTAACGTAATGTAATATATAATATAATACAAGGCATTAACATGACAAAATGTCACCACCTAAAACAATTTGGTCAATTTAAAGCAAGTTGGAAAATACCTTTTGACCTTAAGAAGGTTTGATTTGAACTTCTTCTTCTTCTTCTTCTTTGAACCTTTTTGACCTTGAAAAGGTCATTGAAGGTCAAATGTCAAATCTAAAGTCAGATTTGAACTTCTGAGAACATGTAGATGATTTTGAAAAAAAATTAGTCAATTTGAAGCAAGTTGAAAAAAGACCTTTTTGACCTTGAGAAGGTCATTGAAGGTCAAAGGTCAAATCTAAAGTCAGATTTGAACTTCTGAGAACTTGTTAAGTCAAATTTGAACTTCTGAAAAGATGTAGATGATTTTGAAAAAAGGACAGGTGGCGGTAAACCCCTCTTTTAGCCCCCCTACAAAACAAGTATATATTGACATGGAATTGAAGACGGAGCATGACTTATTACTTAGAATGTGATTTCTGAGAATTTTGACATTTGACCTTGACATTAGGGTGGTTTGAAGGTCAACTTCGAAAGATGCTATTTTTGTCAAAATTTTGCCGTTTTCTAATACAAGAAGTGAAAGCAATTGGCTTAATTTTGATTATGACTGATAATAAGACATGTGAATGGAAATAAAAATAATTTTTGATAAATTCTCATGGGCAATTACATAAAAATCTTGAGAATAAATTCCCATATGAGCTTTTTTGGGGACTTAATTTTCCTGTTTCAAAAATGAATGTTCTTGTTGCCTTTTAAGACTCCAACAGTATCCAAATATTGGGATGTGATTATTATTTTAAATGCCCATGGGCAATTAGGATAATATGGCTGCAATTAAATGCACACAAGGGCACCTCCATGAGAATGAATTTTCTTATTTCAATTGCTTCTCGCCAGTTTTCTAAACATGTTTGCCATATTCTAAATAGTTATAGGGTCACTTTTAATAAATGCCCATTGGCATTTGCATTGGAATTTGAAATTAAATGTCTGTATGGAGACTTAGTTTTAAAGTTATTTGCCAATTTGCAGTTCCCATATTTGAATTTCAATATATATCATAAAATATAAGTCAGCATCATGTATAAATGGCTTGACACTCAAAAGATTGCCTAAAATATTTTCTACTCATTCCCTATTTAGAAAAACACTTAGGCCATTCAAAGATTTTTTATAATTAATGTCACTACATTCTATGTTTTCAGGAAAAAACGTTCTCATCCACTCTGTACTTGAAATGCATATAAATGACAGAGGGAATTGTGATCTTGAATTATATTGTATAGAAATGAGTTCCAAGATTGATTAAAAACTACATGTATATAAGCTTTAGTATTGTCTTCAATAACAAGATCATCTGAATCAAGAGGTGTTACTTGCTTTGTCACAATGTGTTATTGCATTTTCACTATTAAATAATATATAAAACCCTTTAAATAAATAAAGGTTTTGTAGTTTTTAATAATTAGGCCCTTCATCAGAATACCTGTATAATTAATTTTGAATGGCCTAATCTGTACATGTAGTTATGTAGTGTACATGTATGCCCAGGTTAGCAGCCATATTGAAAACATGAATCAGTTAGCCTTATTTTCATCACAACAGTTAAGTTTTAGTGGTGAGCCCACACTCCCACAACAATGATATTTGCAGAGAAGCTACTTTACAGTCTCTGCATTATCCAGTTTCAATATCTTTTTTGTGGGAGTGTGGGCTGATGGTTAAATTTTCAACGAAAGGAAATAAGCACCATGCTAAAACTTGATAACAAAACGAACAAAAATTGACAATGTTTTCCAGATTTGCATTGGAAAACTTCATACATATCTAGATTTCGTCAATGTTCTACTCTGAATGCTTGTATGCCATATGTTCCATATAATAAAGTCTATGTAATAATAAGTTTTGATATTATTTTGATGGTAAACATAGTGTGTACCCATATTCAGACAGCCTTGTGATAGGGGTTCTTACTGCCAATTTTTCAAAGAACCTGAAAACTAATGCCACTTTTTGAAATTGCACATCTCAAGAAAAAAGGTTTATCTACAACTTGCAATCGGTTTCAAAAGTAAATGAAAGAATGAGTTTTTTGGAAAAAGTCTAAGTTGACCAATAGTCTTTTAAATGGACCTGTTCTTTGGTCAATTTGAAGCAAGTTGAAGACAGACCTTTTTGACCTTTTTTGACCTTGAGAAGGTCATTAAAGGTGAAATGTCAAATCTAAAGTCAGATCTGAATTTCTGAGAACATGTAAATGATTTTGAAAAAAAAAATTAGTCAATTTGAAGCAAGTTGAAAAAAGACCTTTTTGACCTTTTTTGACCTTGAGAAGGTCATTGAAGGTCAAATGTCAAATCTAAAGTCATATTTGAATTTCTGAGAACATGTAGATGATTTTGAAAAAAGAAATTAGTCAATTTGAAGCAAGATGAAAAAATACCTTTTTGACCTTTTTTGACATTGAGAAGGTCATTGAAGGTCAAATGTCAAATCTAAAGTTAGATTTGAATTTCTGAGAACATGTGGATGATTTTGAAAAAAAAATTTAGTCAATTTGAAGCAAGTTGAAAAAAGACCTTTTTGACCTTTTTTGACTTTGAGAAGGTCATTGAAGGTCAAATGTCAAATCTAAAGTCAAATCTAAAGTCAGATTTGAATTTATGAGAACACGTAGATGATTTTGAAAAAAAAATTTAGTCAATTTGAAGCAAGTTGAAAACAGACCTTTTTGACCTTTTTTGACCTTGAGAAGGTCATTGAAGGTCAAATGTCAAATCTAAAGTCAGATTTGAAGGTCAAATGTCAAATCTAAAAGTCAAATCTAAAGTCAGATTTGAATTTCTGAGAACATGTAGATGATTTTGAAAAAAAATTTAGTCAATGTGAAGCAAGTTGAAAAAAGACCTTTTTGACCTTGAGAAGGTCAAATGTAAAATCTAAAGTCAGATTTGAACTTCTGAGAACATGTAGATGATTTAGAAAAAAATTGAAGTCAGTCTAAACAGTATTTGTTAAGTTATAGGAAGTTGTAAGAAATTGTTACAGACGCCGGACGCCAACCTCCAACCGCCGGACGCCAACCTCCAACCGCCGTCTCAAAAAAACGGAGACCATAACAATATGTCACCACTTTTGGTGGTGACATAATAATATGGGATTAAACAAGAAGAATGCAAATCCATGTCAGATTTCTCATATTAGAGCAATGACTTAAAAAGTTATTTTGAACATTTTTCAAGAATTTTTTAAAAAGGTTATTAGACTTTTTTTTCATCTTTCAAATGTTTGAGGTTCCCCCATTTAAATAAAGGTTGAAATCTTAAATCATCAAATATTCCACTATGCATTGCCAAACACATTATTTAAACAAGACCATTGAAAAGTTCAAGCAGAGGGCACATCATTTCAATAATACGATATGTGTCATCATATCTAGATTTTTTGCACTCTAAGTGACATCACTTAGGGTGCAAATATAGTTTTCATAAATCTTTTTTTCAAAATGTTGCTCAAACACGACAGTATAAGCCACATGACAGTGATGATATGCTGTACCTTCCATTTGTAGACATTAAAGTTGTAACATAACGACAGTCAGAATCTCATAAAACAACTATTTTGTTATTTTAACTGTATAAAGCAAGTGATATTTCCCGTCAATCACAAAATATGATTTAACAAAAAAATGTCAACCTCTGAAATGTTGTAATTTTTGCAGACTTCTTAAAAGTTTTGATGTACCATGGTACAAAGTTATTCTGACACAAAATCTAAAAGTTGTTGGCACTACTACAAAGGCTGAACCAAAGTAGAACTACATAAGGGCAACTCCGCGGAGTAGCAAATTCCAACGAACAAAATATCAATTACCGAATTCTAATCAATTATACTCATTACTTTGGTTAAAATTGAAAAAATTAGATTTTAGAATTGCGAATTCCTGCAAAGCAGCCATTTTGAATTTTCGGAGATACAAATCTGAAAAATAATACCATAATTGTGATCTACTCCAAAATTCCTTCAATTTGAGTATAATATAGCCATACTTTGAAGGGATCGAAAAATTATTGCGAAATCGTACATTAGACGGCCATTTTGAATTTTATGAGGCTCGAATCAGAAAAAAGATACAATATTTGCAATCTACTCTTAATTGCCTTTCATTTGAGTATAATAAAGCTATACTTCAGAAAGATCTAGAAATTAGTGAAAATTTCTGTTTTCCTGTCCCCCCATACACGGCCCCTGGGGGTCAAGATGAAAAACACGGAATATATGTGAAATAGATAAATGTTGTGAATATACTACCAAAATTTCAAACAATAATATTAATTACTTTGGTTTAGAATGAAAAATTTATGATTTTTGCGAAAAAGTCCCGTCATTTTTAAAGCGGCGGCCATCTTGAAAAATTTTTTTTTTGCGTAAAACTATTCACCAATATACATCTTTCCACTAAATATGAAGAAAATCCATCTACTAGTATTTGAGTTATCTTCCGGACAGACGGACGGACTGACGGACGGACAGACGGACGGACGGAGGGCTTCACTATATCCCTACCGAACTTCGTTCGTTGGGATAAATATACATTACTGAACTTGCAGTAATTTTTGCGTGCTACTATATTTCACACTTGGTGGATTACCATTGTTACGAGTTACCTTCATACAGTCAAGTAGCATAATTATAATCTAAATCAAATAGAATGGATTTATTACATCTTTAAGATGGTAAGATGGTATTGAATATGGACATTAAACTAAATTCTAAACAATCTTACCAATGATTTTTACAGTTGTTGTTTTTCTTGTTGTTGTTGGTAATGGTGTTGTAGATATTGTAGTTGTTGTAGTAGTAGGAGGTGGTGTTGTTGTTGGAAGTCCAACTAACCCAATCTCCATAGTAAAACTATCTTTCCTTGGTTCACCTTTATAGCTCACATACACTTTGGCTGGTTTTGTAAACTTCTTTACTGTCTCCACATCTTTCATCTTTCCCAGGTACAAGTTGTAGTATTGATACTCCTTCTGTTGTACATCACTACCTGCAAAGTCCCATCTTGTTCCTTTTGTGCCAGCCCATCTCGTTTCACTATCCCCCAACATGTATTTCTTTGCCACCATGTCATAAACTACGATGCTGTAATATAATCACAATATCTATATATTACACTAAAGTTAAGTTCTTTCATCTAATTGCAGACACACTTGAGGTCCACTCAAGGGCGAACGTAATACCTGGAACGTTTGCAAATTGGCGTTCATTTTTTACTGCATCCGATTTGAATTAGCCAATAAACATGATAGGGGTGTGAGAACTTGAAATTTATTCTGACGATGTGTCTTACCCCCCTTTGGACATAAAGTCCAAGCTGAATATGTCAGCACATGTTGATGATTGGTGAGTAAAAACAATCTATCCTTATAGCATAACATAATTTCTATAGTTAAGTGAATTTCGGTCACGAACCATTCAGAAACAACAGTTAAAACGAAGATTGTCCGCGTCAGATTTGATTGTACCACCTGGAAAAAGGTACCTAGGTCTGAGAAAACCTACCTCTCTATACACCATTGTCTAATGAAGACCAAACAAAGCCCCGGATGTCGTGCCGTTTCTCATTTCGTTTGGTACACAACTAAGCCCCGCGGGTATTAAATAAGCCCTTGGTCCACTGATGAAATCGTAAGTTAAGGTGTACAATGTTAGAGTTAAATGAAGACAGATGTACACAATTATTATCATACAAATCTTCCTTCATTTAATCATAACAAGACACGGAGTGAACAGAATCGCACCCTTGAAGAGAATACAGTTTTCGAAACAGAAAATCCAAAATGGCCACCCTAACATTTACCCAGACTGCCCAAAAACTAATCAGTTGTAAACTTTCATTCGTAGAAACATCCCTAAAATTTCCCATGAATCCCTGTTTGGCTAAAAACCCGTACACAAGCCTTGACAAACAAGTTTTTAGGACATAAAATCCAAAATGGCCTCCTTAAAATTTACCAAGAAGGCCTTAAACTAATCACTAATCAGTTCTAAGCCTTCATACGTAGAAACATCCCTCAAAATTTCAGATGAATCCATGAAACGGTTTGGCTGGAAACCTGTAGATAAGCCTCGACAGATTTTAGGACGGAAAAGCCTGTAAAGCATATTGCGCTCGGTACTGACCTGTGTAACTATTGTGCAACATTATTATTGGAAAAAATGTATAATGAATTGAACTGCTTCAACACAAAATTTTTTTGCTTACCCATCACCACCTCTTGCATGTGGAGCACCTGGTATGCCTACTGATAGTGCAGATGACGGCCAGTCTGACTGAGTGTTTCCATCAATAGCAATATCATAGGATGGAAACTTGACAGAGATTGTAGTATTAGGGACTCCAGAGACAAACCAGACATCACACTTGATCTTCTCACCATCTTTGTAGTGATCACCACCATTACCACTCAGGTGAATTTCATTATATGCATTGTTGATCGTAATCGTCTCCTTACATTTTTGTAAAAACGTACCTAGAATCGATAAAACATAAATTATGAAATAAAACTCACTTTTTGAAGTAGGAGCAAAGGATTTAGAGTAACAAAGGTCATCAGAGGACCTCCTAAAGTTGAAAAGAATTAATCATTTAATCTATAAGTATACCCCCCCCCCCCCTGGTTGCTATATTTGTTTTGTTGACTGGTTATGTATCTTTTGCATTAAACAAAAGGTTATTCACTAAGACATACAGGGCTCTCACCAGGAAATATTTAGGGTGTGGTGCTAATATCTTCGGAATAACCGTTCAACCGTGATAAATCATATTTATGTTATATTTTATCCTTTTTACATGCTATTATTGTTATTCAGTCAAGTTTAGACTGTGGAGGGAGCTAAATAGAGTGTGGTGCTGCGCCACAGTCTAAAAGCCTGGTGAGAGCCCTGACATAGGTTCCAGTCAGCAGTTAACATAACAGGCATACAAAAACTTCCTTATCTTCACCTCTGTTATGCTTCTAGAGCTAACTAGCAGTATCAGCATGTTTTCAAAGTAGTAGTCAAGTAGAACTGATTTTTCAGATAAAAGTACATATTATAAAGCTTTTCTGGTTACGTAATTTTAGTAAGCCTCAAGTAATATTCTTAGCAATACGATCTCCATTCATCAACATAATTCTTATACCCGAGGTACATGTTTCTGATATTCAAACATATGCCTGCTGTGTACTTAGGAAAAAGTATAATATAGGCCTATCTTTTGATTTAAATATTATTTTAAAAATAATGAGTAAGTTCATCAATTGAAAGTGAAGCAAACCTTCCTCCGGAGACATTGTCTAAAATCAAAATCAATATGTCTGCCATATTTGACAAGGCATTATGATTAAAACATGTAAAATGTCACCACCTGGCCATTTGTTACAGATACCATTACCAACTGCCAAACACCAACTGCCAAACAACAACTGCTGAACATTGATTGAATTCTAAAGATGGCAGCTAGTTAAAAACAGTAAAATAGAGAATTTTTGGGTCAAAACTGTCAAATAACAATGAATTACAACAAAGAACAGATATAGGTTGAGATCTGAACTCAAATTCAGAGAGATACACAATGGTATGTTTAACATAACTATCTTGACGAAGACAAGCAACTTACTAACTAAAAGAACCCAGATGCAAGGCCTGAATACAAATTGCATTGAAAGAAGGTACAACATGAATGATACCGTTCTCTGTAAATAGTCAGATGGCAGGTGTACTGAGAAGGAATCTGGTGCAGGTAACAATATGATATACAGGATTAATTCAAGTAACTATTGCTTACCACTGATAACATTTGGCACAGAGAGCAACACAGCAAAAGTCAACATCAACTGCATGGCGAAGCTTCCAAAAATTGTTCTTTAGGGATCTGCAGTGATTTTCTGCAACAGACCTGCAAAATATTTGTCCATAAAGAATTTTTTCACTCAGTATTTAAAACAGACGCACTGAAAATCAATATGCCTATCGCTATATATATATTGAACGGACAAACATTCCATTTTCACACATGTTCAGTAATATAAGGTATTAGAACTTCCGGAAATGACAAGCCAGTAGGAACATTTTTGGGAATTTTTACAGTTCGTTTACATTTCTTGTTTAACTGTACTTATTGTTGAACGGATGGAAAGATAAGCAGATGTAGTTACATTGGAGTTCGTTTACTACCATTTGGAAGGCACGTGAGGGTCCCATTCATCAGGTAACACTTATATGTCGAAGTTAAGTTCTTGCCTTATTTAACACTTAACAAGGAGTATGTTCCTATTTTTTCATATACTGTTGCAATATGGTCATTTGATTACTTGTTTTTTAAAAGAAAATTTTTCTTACTCAAGTCACTAGAAATTAGGATTTGTGAATCGGACTTTAGAGCTAGATCTAGTTTACTAAACACAGCTGACTTCTGTCAGCTCGGTAGAGTAAGATCTAGGCTAAAGTGGGGGACAAAACTAAACCTCAACCATCAAATTGTCACAATGAGCTAAATTCTGAGTTTTGTGTCTGAAACCCTCCAAAGTGGTGGAAAAATAATTCCCGTTCACTTTAAAGGAATATTCCTGGCCAGACCATTTCTCTCCTAATATGGTAGCTATAACCATATATATACTTTCCATATTTAGCAAAACAGGGAAAAAATGTTTTGATATGGTCAATATTGATCACTTGAAAATGTAGTGCTGAATTCCAGTAGGCTGCCATCTTTTAATATTTCACTCAGGAAGTGATGTCATCGACTCTCAACTTTGCATATAACACTATAAGGAGCTATTAAGAATTACAAAACCAGCTGAATATTCTTTTTCAATTTTGTCTATGATTTAATCCTTCTAAAAGTCTCTTCTTTTATTCTAAGCTGACAAGCTCTGAACATATTTTTGCGCATAAAGTAAGGATCACTCGTCTAGGAGTGATATTGTGCTATTTTCCTATACTGATATATGCAAGGTCTTGAAAGTTGAGAGTCGATGACATCACTTCCTGAGTAAAATCTTAAAAGATGGCAGCTTACTGGAAATGAGCACTACATTTTTAAATTATCAGTATTGACTATATTAAAACATTTCCCCATGTTTTGCTAAATATGGAAAGTATATATATGATTATAGCTATCACATCAGGATAGAAAAGGTTTGGCCAGGAATGTTCCTTTAAGTAGCATAATAAATGAATCCAAAGCTTCATACCTGCAAATGATAGATAAATCCCTACCAAATCAAACGAATGTTTTTATGAATCGCCATGTTTGTGATCCAAGGAGGATTGACTCCCACAATGCAACATCAGTTAACCTTATTTACTCGTGACAGGTTTCAAAATGGCGGAGCGGCATTTTGAAAGCTGGCACGTGTCATGTTGCATTCTGGGAGCCAATCCTCCCCTTGCAGCGTAATCGGGCTCCAAAATCACCTCAACATTTGAAGAGTCGGCATTAACATGTGAATATCCACTTCAACATTTTAAGTTCTTATTTGTCATTATGGACACAAATTCCACTATATTTGGACTTACTAGGACGGATATAGCACTGAATACACTGAAGTAAGAATTCATTACATGTGCGACAGCATGTAATTTTCATAGCTATATAGTGCTGATATATAATAATATAGGGTGCGTTTTCAAACTAAACAGAGTGCTCCTACCAAAATGAATTTGTCTACATACCCCCGAGACTCTCTAAGATAGAATGCACAAATAAAACAAAAATTTTGCTATTATACGTGAAAAGTTGTCTTAAAAATTCGAAGTGATTTTACCTGTTAACTCTGTACTTGGTCCGCCATGTTGGCGGAAGGTACACTGAAACGCTAACCCCATTAAACGAAACGAAATTAGAAAAAGCCATGGCACACATTGTGCGCATGTGCAGCAAAGTTTAAACCAATCAGATCATTTGCAAGGTAACAAGGTAACAAGGTAACCACAATAAACAAACCTGGCAAATAATACCCTTAGCCTACTTCATTTTAGCGAAATTTCAGCTCAAACTCGTGACAAATGCATTATGCATACGCTGGTATGAAGCCTCGGAGACACTCATTTTGGTAAATATGATTTACTGTGTATACTTTTCTGCAGTTTGTGGGAGTTTGGGACATTAAATGTTAGAAATCAAGGAAATATGCCAATTATACGACTTATCAATTATTTTGTATCAGAACTATACCAATTCTTTATGTCCCCCACTGTAAATAAATCTAAGATTTTTGACATCTAAAAAGTCACTCGACTTTTTTTGTGATTTTGAATCACAGAAAGCATTCTGAAGTTTCAAATTGGCGCCACGTTTAATTTTTTGCATCTGCCTAATGTATACCACTTACCTTTTATTGATTCTTTCATAAGTTTCGTCATAAACTTGAAGTTTGACCAAAAGTATCTTTGTTGCCGCTCAATTTTAAAAAAAATGTCCCTTTTCTAATCACCCGGATGTGCGGTTTACTTGGACTCGCCCAAAACGAGGGGTTTCAAAAGGCAAGATGGTAGACATGTTGCCACTCTCAGAGAATCTATTCCATAATTTCAACATTACTATGCGGTTTTACAAGCGAAAAGGATAAGGGCAGGTTGTATATAGGACTGGACAAGATGAAATGAATATTCTAAATAGATGACACCCCTTTCGAAATAAGATGAACTGAACCTATCACGTCACCGATTTCTTAGAAGAAATAACATCAGAAAAACAAAAGCTCCGTAGAGAATTTTCGCTTGAAATGTTGAAAAGCAAGCCCAGTTTTCTATGGGAATATACGGTAATTAATAGTTACGTGTACAATATTACCAAGTTCGATGGTGATTTAGTTAGGCGGTGGATCATTTTGTAAGTACGACAATGTGAATTCATGCGACTGTTACTTTTTGGAAGGTTTTTTTGCAAAAAAAGTCGAGTGACTTTTTAGATCATTGTCGAAAATCTTAGATCTAACATAAAAATATTTACCGAGTCTGTTTCGTTCTTTCTGATGTTTTGTCCCTTCCCAAATTGGCCTATCGTTTCCTAGTACGTATTTCAATTTAAATCTACCAAAGTTATATCAATATACTAAACAACTATTGAAATAATCCGAATTAAATGACTTGTTTTCGCACTTGTTTTTGCTCGGACAGAGAGCGGAAGTTGAGGCCCGGAAGTTGCAAAATGACAAGAAATAGATGGTCTAGTCGACTATAATAAATTATAACTTTAGGTCTTGGTTTTACCTTATACATGAATAAAATTTATTTTCAATAATATGAATTATTTCAAGACTTTTAAGTCTATTTAATTGGCACTTATTTTAAATTGCAATATAAATTCAAATATGGTCTGGGGGACTTACTGTCGCGGGAAATTTGAAATTTGACCAGGATATATTTTGATCCTTTATATCATCTATATCATAGAGAATGATTGGCCTCGGTGGTTTGTTTAGAAGCTGGTGATGTAAGAGATCTAAGTACCCCTCTTTGTTTAAAAATGAGCTAGTTGGTTGATCTCCAATCTTTCTTTGTGGAAACTTCTAGGGAAACTTAGTTTAAAGGCCCTGTGCAAAGTTTGAAATATTGCTTTTATCATTCCATGGGCTTTCAACTAGAAGGGTAGGCAACTTCCCATATTTCCTTTGCCTTTGGGTTTCGTCAAAATTGGAGAATGTACACATTCCAAGAAAATCTTATTTTGTCCTTATGGAAGATTTCAAGAATTAATTTACATACATGTTGACAATTTAATAATAAATGGAAGTCATCGTTATTATGACAAAAGTGAACATTCTCAAACAAAATTTTTTTTTGAATGTGTTCTTGAATAATTACCCACAATGCAATACTCAAAGAGAACATCTTGATACCTCTTATTCTTATTGGTCTTTTTTGTTTACTTTTACATGAGATTGAATATATTTTAATGCTTTAATCATGTTGAAAATTGATTTCTATTCAAAATAATACTAAAACATATACATTTATAATACTTTTTGAAATATTACCTTGATGATCTCATGTTATAACACAGAGTTGCATACCCATCTAATTAAAAGCCCGTGATCATTCATTTACCCTATTTATCACTTTAAAGATTTTTCTAGTATTTCTGAAAGAAATTCTGTTCAAAAAAATTTGTCAACTCTTTATTTCTCAATTGTATTCAAATAAAAATCATCAAATATTCCACTAGATCTATACCATCGTACACAGTGCAAGACATTATCCGTCACCATTGCAAATATTGAACAAAGGGCACATTATTTCAATAAGTTTATTTCTCGCTTAGGCCTATTTATAACTGATTTTCTTAATTTTTTCGACAATAAACACATTACGATAAATGCTGGTATGAATTATCGCTTCTTAAAAGATCTATGGTTTAACTTTATATGGGGCCTTTAATACTGTCTCAGTCTAACTTGTATGTTTATCACAAGATCAATGGTGTTCAGCCACAGCTGATTGGTCTGTGGAGTCCCTGCAGTGATGTGTGACTATCATGTTAGGGTCTATTGGTCTCATCTCCGTAGAACAAAATATTTTGCAGTAAGAATTATCTTAAAATTGTCTGTGATAGTATAGATGAAGTTTTGAGAAAACATTTTTTTATAATAATCTTTTTTATAATAAGCTTTTCAAACCACACTTGATGGAAGTGATCAAATACATTTTAAAATGGAAAAGGTCAGAGCAGAAAAATTTCATTTAGGCTAGAGCTTGCTTTTTAGGGCTTTAGGCAAGATGATTTTTCAAGTGCTGATATTGTCACACCAAAGTGTTTCAGTGGAGATGATGGGCTCGATTGCTGTATCATATTGCATTTGAACTTTTTTTGATGGTACCCATTATGAATTAAAACAACAATGGCTTATTTGGGATCACAATTAGACTCTTTTAACAGAGTTCAGCAAACAGACAAAAAGTAATATTTGTTAAGCTGAAAGCAATGTTTATTACAAAAAATATACATCTAGACATGTGAGAGCAAATTTAGTGCAAGCATATGAACAAACATGATATATTGCAGGTAGTTATCTGTTATAAGGAACATTACTATATACTGTAATAAGGTTTCCATATATTGCTTGACATTACTACATCTTCTATTCCGATCTTTTAAAAGAACAACCTTATTGCATCTTGTAGTGTGAACATAACCTTAATAACTTAAAAAATAAACTATACAATGCTCCTTCCTAAATGCTAAATAAACACTTTCTCTTCATGAGATTCTGAAAATATTCTTTCTATCAACTCCTGCCTGTACCTTTGTAACTAAACTGAGTGTCACAGGATTAATTTGAAGGTTCCCAAAATTATTCAATTCATCATTTGTAAATAATACTGTGACTGTTAATTTACAGATGAAGTTATCATCGTTTGATATATTTAACCAGCTGAGTGATAAGATGAGATATGGATCATCTCTGAAGAAATAAATATATAAATATTTTAGTTATTTGCAGTATTTCACTTCGTGTATATAGAGCTGAGTTATGATTAATCCACCTCAAGTGGAAAGTCTCCTTTCTCATTTCAGCATTTTCATTGACAAAAATTCGACATCCAAGTAATTTGTAAAAATAAAGCACATTGCAGCGATTTACATACAATCATACAATTTTCACTTTGACACTTTTGTTAACAAACACATAGGTTTCGCATGTTACAATTTCAGATCCTTAAAAACATTTTCAGGTTCAGTTGTATTGAATGGCAAAACAGATGCAATAGTTTTGGTCTTACTTTTGGATCACCCTGTATGTCATAAATGTAAGATTGCTATGAACATTTACAATAATTTAGCAATTCCTGAAACATTCAACATGTGTGTTCACTGGAGTAAATTTTTACACTACATTGTCAGAGTTCACAGAATGATGCTGCAGTGTAATTTCCAGCATTGTAAGTGTAATTTCACAGCATTGCAAGCGTAATTTCACAGCATTGCAAGCGTAATTTCACAGCATTGCTAGTGTAATTTTACAGAGAAGAATGACTCCATATCAGCATATAGATGCAGGTTACACCCAGACACCATGGATATGTTTTTGATGATAAGTGAAAACATGGGCTTTCAACTAGAATTGAAAGCCTATGGTGAAAATGTTCCAAAAAGCAGGATTTTAAGAAAAACAATATTTGTACTTTAAATTAAAAGCTTGCTTTACTTTTTGTACATTTAGCCAAGCAACTGCCCTGATCGCGAGCATCTGCTATAATTTTTTTGTGTTTTAAAAATGTCTGTATACTATATACCTATAAGCAGATAAGTGTGCAGTCAAAATTTGTATCAGATCAGAGTAATAAATTATAAAGAAAATGTATACACCAATTACTTACAGCCTAACTAATTAAATACTATGTAATCATCATGTAGCCTAGTTCATGTAGTTACCATTAATGGGTTGTAGCCCAAGGCTCAATGAATTGTGGAAGATTTTAAGCATGACTGTCTTGTATCAAGACTTTAAATGAGCATGGTAGCCCAAAAGCTAGGTATTAGGATAGAGGACTTAAGTGCATTAAATCACATACAGTATATTGAGTCAGATGCTTAAATCTTTTCACACATTGCAGCAGATACTTTTTGCAAATTTTTGCAAGGTTTGACATTTTGAATAGCACCTATCTTGCTATTCATTGATACCATTTATACATGTAGTTAAAAATGCAGACTCAACTCAAATGCCAACTTGAAATTAGGTTAAAAAATCTAAATGCATATTATGTTCTGATTGGCTAACTTGTGGTACATTGACATAGTATATCATGCCAAGCTATGTGTGAAAAGTATTTACAGAATATTTTAATAAAAATGCACTTTTTTGAGTGAATGAACGCTGTATTTCCCTCAACACAGAATAAAGCAGAATGGTTTCCTAGTCTTTCTAAACTGAATTATTCAAACATGAGATATGTAACAGCACCTAGATTAAATTCTGATTTATCTTATTTCAATATTTTAGTTGGTTATGACCTTGGATGAAGAAAAGATATGTGACACTTTTGAACTCCAATTGACAGGTTCAGCTCCTGATTTAAGTAAAATTATTTTCTTAAATTATGTGCCTAGACATTTGAGTAATTTTGGTACTTATCACAAAAAACTGGGAATTCATTGTTACACACAAGCTCAAAATTCTGTTATCAAATAATAGGATTTGAGTATCCTTCTTTTCTTCATCCTAGGTTACTATTTGTATGACCTATTTACAAATACAGTGTACATGTAATCAGATTTCATGTTTCAGTTACTGTAGTCAAATCAAAAGCAATCTGAACCAGAACAACGGCAACGCCAAAGCGTAGCGAATCCCATCGAACAGAAATGGCTGGCATGTGCCACGCTTATAGTATTCACATACCAAATATGAACAAAATAGCTTCACTACTTTTCGAGTTATAGTGAAATACGTTAAAATGGCGGCCATTTTTCAAAAATTGTTTTCAAAATGGCCGCCTCCTACCAAAAGTGTCACTGTCATAGGACAGTGTGCCAAGCTTATAGTATTCACATACCAAATATGAACAAAATCGCTCCACTACTTTTCAAATTATAGTAAAATATGTTAAAATGGCGGCCATTTTTCAAAATGGCCGCCTTCTACCAAAAGTGTCATAGGACAGTGTGCCATGCTTATAGTATTCACATACTAAATATGAACAAAATCGCTCCACTACTTTTTGAGTTATAGTAAAATACGTTAAAATGGCGGCCATTTTTCAAAATGGCCGCCTTCTACCAAAGGTGTCTTTAGACAGTGTGCAATGCTTATAGTATTCACACACCAAATATGAACAAAATCGCTCCACTATTTTTTGAGTTACAGCAAAAATCGTAAAATGACGAGAAAAGGCCGCCATTTTTCAAGATGGCTGCCATGTGCTTCTTTAATATCTACATTTGTAGCATTATTAATGTCCTTTATAATTTTTTTACATTTAAAACATATTGCTATTACAGTTTTACATATTGCACCTAAATTACTGTAAAATCGGCACTAAAATGGCCGCCATTTTGAAATGAGCGGCCATTTTGAAAATCGGCTTTCAAGCAGAACTTCTACCCCCATAGGGTATATGTGTACAAAATATGAACAAAATCGGGCCAACGGTATTTGAGTTATTGCCCGGACGGACGGACGTACGTACGGACGGACGGACGTACGGACGGACGGACGTACGTACGGACGGACGGACGGACGTACGTACGGACGGACGGACGGACGGACGGACGGACGGACGGACGGACGGACGGAGGCGTTCCCTATATCCCTCCGAACTTCGTTCGATGGGATAATAATGATTAATACAGACAAAAAAAATATATCATTAATTTACATTACCAGAAATTCAACTCTTGGTCACCTTAACTGGTCATCACAACAGAACTGCAACAGCAGTTAATCCTTCATTTGAGATGACCTGTTTATTGTTATGATTTCTTTTATGATTCATTGAGGTCCAACATGTCCAACAGTGGTGTAACTGTAGTTCAATCAGCTGTATAGTTCAAAGTCTGTTTTAGTTCAACTATTGTTAGAGTTGACTTGAACATACAGTATATATACAGTATATATTCGTGAACAGATGAAAGTAATCCCAAGTAATTTGTAGTATCTGCATGAGTCTTCACAGGGTTTTTAGGTCATGTAGGTTGTGTCAAAATCTCAACTTTCCCCGAGAGAAAATTTATAAGACTAATCCATAACTGTTGATATTTTGACACATTTGTTTACTCTAACTTGTGTTTAAAGTGCCAATCAGCTCAAATTTCCCCCTTGTTTTGATAATTATCTCATGTATACAAAAAAATACTTTTTTGATCCAGAGAAATATGTGTATTATAACTATGTACATGCCTAAATAAAGCGCCTTATAAAGCCTTTTATGAGTACCTAAAAAATATCCTCAACGATCCCTGATGAATCTTCAGATTTAAATTTTAGATGAGGATTGGAAGTAGTTCTTGCCACTTTTTGATTCTTAATAATACTCTACAACAATATGATTTCAGTAACCCAGTAAATGTATTAAACTGATTTTACATTAAAAATATAAGATCATAAAATTAGTAGAACCACTTCCATTTTTGTTTTTTTGTTTATTGATTTTGATTTTACAACAAAAATGTAAGATCATGAAATTAGTAGAACCACTTCCATTTTTGTATTTTTGTTTATTGATTTTCAACAATCATGTTGATGGAATACTGTATGTCCCATCTGTTTGAAAGTCATATGTAAGACTAGAATGCCTCATATAGCTCTTAATAGGCCTATAGATTAAAGCATTTCATAATTCTAAGACACAAATCACCTAAATTTTGAGGGGTAGGATAGGAGTCAAGTAAAAACTTAATTACTCATTACGTTATTCATAAATTTTTATGTTAATCAATGTAATATACATTCCTCCTGTTCAATTTATGAGACCTCTATCTGTCTATTCTCTATAAAACATGTTGTTTAAAATATGACAGTATTGACACTATTCACAGGTGGTCTTTTAAATTAATTGCCTTACAAAATACATATCATTCAATTTTGTGTTTAAACAATGGGTCCCTGTTGCAGATCTGAGTTGGCATTACTTTGTGGTCCGTGAACAAGTGGTTGGGTAGCACCTGTCACATCTACTGAAGCCTCAGTTGTAACATTTATCGAAGGCTCGGTTGTAGCCTGGGAGGCGACATCACTTTGTGGCACAGGGCCTGCACTTGCACCTTGGGGGGTAACGGGGCTCATTGCAGCTTCATATGAGGGAGGAAGGAATTTATTTCCTTCTTCAATCACGGTTTCATATGCTGGTGGAGCTGGCATCGCACCAGTAGGGGTACGATTTGCATTCATAGGGGTAGGATCTTCTACTCCACCCTCCGCATTTGCAACTAGAATATCATGGTCCTCAGATGTCGTGGCTTGACGTAAAATGGCAGCACGGAGGAACTCAGTGAACAACCAACTCCTCACTCGTGCATTTTGCTGTGCAGCCATGATTCTTCGACTAGAAGCAAAACATTTCAGATTAAGCTTAACAGTATTAATGACTTAAACATAGTCAACTAGAAATCGGCAACTCCTCGGAGTGGCAAATCCCAACAAACACTATATTCATGGATCTGTAGATGTCACAATGTAATATTTACCAACTATTCTATCCTTGATTTAATTTTTGATAGATCAAAAGACAGATTAGACTAAGAGAAATTGTATAAGCATTTGGGTAAACATTTGGGCATTTCAAAGACACAAATCATAAAGACAATACAATATTTGAGATCTAATATATACATTGTAGTATCATATAGCCATAGCCTTGAAGTAAGTAATAGTGAAGTAAGTAATGGCAGCCATTTTGAATTTCTGAGACACAAATTAGAAAAACAATACCATAAGTGTGATCTACTCTAAAATTCCTTCAATTTGAGTATAATTCAGCCATACTTTGAAGAGATCAGCAATTTATTGCAAAATCCCACATTAGACAGCCATTTTGAACTTGACGAGGCCTGAATCAGAAAAAACTAGGATAGAATATTTACAATCTACTCTAAATTGCCTCTCATTTGAGTATAATAATCTAATAAAGCTATACTTCTGAAAGATATCACAGAGTCTAGTAGTCTGACTGACTGATGGAGGGCTTCCCTATATCCCTACCGAAATTCGTTTGTTGGGATAATAAACCAATGAATAGTTCTGTTTAAATAAAAGAAATGAGAATGCCTATCTTTCCTGCTAGATACAGGCGTTGCACTTTTACACTGACATACATACACTCACATCATATAATATAACGTGTCAGCACGATTTTTACATTTAACATAATTATTTTAACATTTTTGTTGCCCATTTAATGTTGTAATGTACAACTTCTGTTTATAAATATTACTTTTGAGAAATTTATTCAATACCGTAGAGCTTCTTTAATGATTTGATGTGTTATGCTTACAATTGCCCCCATGGTGAACTTCATACCTACGAATGTACAATCTCAGTCCAATACTGAGAAGTAAGACGACAAATACCACAACACCGACAATTGGGTAGAGAACAGTATTCTGTACAGTTGTGCCACCACTGTTATACTGTACACTGGAGTCATCAGGCATGTCAGGATATTGGTTAAAATCTGTGTCCGGCAATTTAGGGAGGAAGGGAATGGTTGTGGCTGAAAAAAAGAAAAAAGATTTTGTGTCATCAAATCCTATTGAAATATGTATATTAAGTCAGACCAGTGTTTTTATAAGGCAAAATCCATCCATACTCAAACTCATCATATTTTACATTTGAAAACTAACCATGCAGTCCAAGACTCCATATAGCAGTATAGTGGACTTATTATATAGTGTACATTAAAACACAAAATCTGATTTTTGCTAAAATTTGAGAGTCCAAGGGGAATCCTCATATTTCGATGCTATAAAAAACAATACCCTTTCCAGTAGATTTTTAAAAGTAAAGTGCTTTTTCCAGGGAATCAAAAACATGGTAGTTTTTCCAGTAGAGCTTGCAAAGAATGGCACATTTTTGGATGACTTAAAAAAGTAGTTTTTACTGAAGATTAAAAAACTGTTTTTCCGGAAACCTTTTGAAAAATTGTACTGTAATTAAAAAAAATTTAAAAAAACATGCTTACTCTGGTAGATTTTTGAAAAAAGTGCTTTTCTATTGAATCTAAAAAACTGCCACGTTAGAGGTATAAGCCTTTAGTATTGCATTTCAACTCTTACTTGGTATTGATCCTTTCATCAATCCCACCACTAAGCTGAAACTATCTTTACTTGGTTCCCCTTTATAGCTTATCAAAACCTTCGAATTTTTAGCAAATTCTTTGGCCGCTTCCATATCTTTCATCTCTCCAAGGTCCTCTTTGTAGTATACATATTCTTTTGAACTTAGTCCAGAATCGGATATGCTTGAGAAGTCAAATTTGGTGGTTTTTTCCCCAGCCCATCTACTGTACTTATTTCCTAATAGGTATTCCTTGGCAAGCAAGTCATACACTGTTATTCTACAATAAAACAATGATTTTCAATTATTTTTCATTATTACACATTCGAACATGACTGTATTCACGCCTTCTATAAAATGTGAACAAAGTCAACATTTCACCCGGGGTATAATCGCGAACAATACCCCTGGTAATATGAGTAATGAATGACGTCATAACGGTGGGCCGTAGTAATGGCGGACCATAAATGAATATTCAAAACATTTTGGAGAGTTTTCATGTTCGAATCATAATATAGACCTCGGATCAGGTGTAATGTTGTCGTATACACCCCTTAGGGCTAGGCACAAAAGCTTTTGAACCCCTCACTCCCTTCGGTCATTTGGGGTACAGAAAACGTTTGTGCCTAGCCCTGCGGGGTGTATTCGACAATATTACCCCTGCTCTTCGGTCTTTCTTAAATAATATACTAGTAATCATAGAAGAATCAGAGATGAGACTGCAGTGGACTGAGCAAAGGATAATAAGACTGTACTTTTGGAAGCAATGTTTTCAATAAATCAGTCAATGTGCCCTGACTTAGAACCTCGAAATACCATACATCTATATATGGTATAGCAAGTAATTTATAAGATTTATACCTTTTTATATGAGCATTTACTGATATGAGCCATGCTAACCATTACTTTCAGACTAATTTTGGTAACCTTAACCTTTGGTATCTTAAAATCCTCTATTTTACATATGATATCATCTATTTTGAAGAGTTTAAATATCTTAATATGTTATCTAATTTGAGATTTCTAGCTTCTTATTTCATCTTATAGTTCAAATCATCAAGGTTTACTTCATTAGTCTACAAAAACAATACATATAGGCCTACTTGCTTACCCGTCATCATCTCTCACGCGTGGACCACCAGGAAAGTATGATGAAATGTAAATATCGTTGCCAGTGTTGCCATCGACAGCTATTTCATAGGAAGGAAACTTAATGGATAGTTTAGTATCAGGGCTTGCAGCAACAAAGGTCACATCACAGGTGATCTTCTCACCATCTTCGTATTGTACATCATCAAGGTAGTTGTTAAGATCAAAGGTTTGGTATTGAGAGAAGATTGTCACTGTCATGTTACAATAATCCAGAAAAGATCCTGGAATCAAAAATTAGAGAATCTCAGTATTTAGATTGGAACAAAAGGTGGTCTGTTTAGGTGTGGGGGGGGGGAATGGTGTGCTGGTACAACAACTATTGTAGTTTTTTGTCGCATTTCATGTTTTTGTCTTTATTGTTTACAAATTTCAAATGTTGTAGCTCCAGATATATAGTTACAAGGTTCACCATAAGATGGCTAATTTGGCTCATTCAGACATGAATAGATTTAGAAAATCAATTTTCATCTAATCTTTTTGAGTTTGATACTTAGTTTGAAATATCTTCTTTAAAAGAAATTATCTGTTCAATACAAGAAAGGTTATATCAGTTTTAATGATTTAATGTATAGCATGGGCTGATTGGCCTCGCTAACAAATCTAACAAACCTAAAAATCTCATTTTCAAAAAAAAGTTTGATAAAAAATTTAAAACCACATTTTAGATGTAATTCTGCATGTAAATTGCAAATATGATATCACTGACTTCGATTATATAATGCTCAAAATCAAGATTATATTTACTTGCATCTAGTCTATTTCTATCATTTTCATTTGTTGATTTTGTGCAATGATGTTTTATCACTTTTTTATCATAGGCTAGATGTTATTTGTTGCTATTAAATGATTGTTTACTGATCATCATTCATGATATTTTTTTTTGTTTCATTTGCTGAATTTCTAAATTTTAGTTTACATTAGTGCTTTCCATTTTATTTAAAATTAAGAGACTGACTGGACATAAAATTATTTTCTCTAAGAACATCGATATTCGAGAAAATTAAAGAAAATTGACATGGTACAACCTGATAACCTATAAGCACTTACCATTGCTAACATTTACCATTGAGAGCAATAGAACTACACACATCGCCAACAACCACATGGTTGAGCTTTCACTGCACTGCTTGTTTGACAGATATTTCTGAAATAAGAGTTTATAAAATTCAGTGTCTATTTTTTAACATAAAGTGATCAGAGGGTATAGGCCAGGATACAGCATGGGTTTTGGGAAGTTCAAGGGCCACTTGATAGACATAATGTTTCTGAAAGATGACTTCATTTAGCATCAATTCATATATGTCTGGGTCTTTTTAGTTTGTGGACGAAGGATTCTGAGCAGTTTTACCCCCCTAGAATAATATTTCAGGGGGGTATACATTAACTATAGCACTGATTTATACATATTATGTTGCTAGCACTGTTGTCAAGTGTTTCCCAAAGTTATAGGGAGATACTACAAAACAAACTAAAATATACAAAAGTTAGGCCATGTATAAATGTTCCTATTTTTACATATACTGTTTCAAAATGGTTCTTTGACTGCTTATTTTTTAGATTCAAAGTAGTTCCGAACATTTAAAATTTTACTGTAATGGGGTTCAAATTCACTCAGTGTATACTACCCTCTGGAAGGCACGGGAGGGTCCTATTCACGAGGTAACTCTTATTTTTCTCATTGAACTGCTTGCCTTTCTTATAAGGGGTGTATACACTGCCAGGCGAAATGCTTGAAACGGGGCCGGGTGAAAAGGTAGAAAAGCTTGAAATGAAAGAAAATGTGAAAACAATTTAGGGGAATTGATTGAAATGGCCAAACAGGCGCAAGCAGCGAAAAAGTAATTTTCTTTTCAATCGTTTCCTCATAAATTGGTTGTTGGATTGAAATGCTTGATATGGCAAAACAGGCGCAAACAGCGAAACTACGATTGAACTGATTGAAACGCTATTTAAAGTGTATACAGGGCTTTTAAAGTTTAGGTGAAAGCATGGACTTCAAATGAAGCCCATGGTGAAAGAGACCAAAACACTGACTACTATTTTTTTCATGGCCTGAGTTCGTCGCTAACATGCTAAATATAAGAGTTAGCTGACTTACCTTCTAAAGGTTAGAACCCGAATCTTAATGAAACCATATCACCTTTGTTCCATCAACCATGGAGCATTTGCCACAACATCCAAGAGGTAGATCATGGACCGAGAAAATGAATGATTTCCTGTAAGTTCCGGAAGTTTCAATACGAAAAATTACCGAACATATGTGAAAACCGAATATTTGTTCATTGTTTTCACGATTTACAGGTTCGTTTGTTCTTCAATGTTTTGGTCTAAATTATAAAGCATCACCAACAGGTCTTACTCTATTAATCGACTAATACAGCAGACGGCTCATATTTCTACGTAGCATTTCGTTCAGACCAATAGTGGGAATGTAGATCACACAGTTTCGTTCGTTGCGTACTTCACTTGAAATTGGTAATTTTAATATTGGCTACTTCACTTAGCTTGGCGGATGTAGAACATTGCCTAATATTCTTTTAATTTTCACACCAGACATGCTTGGTTGACACGTCAACAAAGTAAAGTTCAAGGGTCAATGCGTTATTTCGTGATAACTACAACGCCTTCCCGGAAGTCAATATTGATGAAAAATGAAAAAGTTGGAAAAGCATTTACACTAATTTCTATCAAATGCTGTGTTTATGCATCATCATCGACGCAACAAAGGTGATATGGTTTCATTAAGATTCGGGTTCTAACCTTTAGAAGGTAAGTCAGACTCCCAAACGTCAGCTAACTCTTATATTTAGCTAGTTCAACGTCGTTAAACTCAATAACGGCTTTCTTTAATATTAGGAATTTTTTGGGGGCCGTTATTGAGTTTAACCTCTTTACTATTCTTTCCTTTGATAATAACACAATATTAGTGTGTTAAATGCTCATTTATACTCGTAAAATGAGGCTACACTTACCGATCTCTAAAATGACATTTCAGCATGTCCGTCATTTTGTCTGTTCGTCCGAGTGTCCCGGATCGTAAAATTAAAGTACTAGCGAAACGAAATTGTTGTCAAATAGATTGATAATTATTATCGCGATTACTCACATTTGAAGATAAATTTTGAGGATAACAGGTACCTTTGATTGATTTATATAGCGCGTGTATACACGCGAAATAGTTATTAATTGCAAACCTACTGTTTGTAAATGCAGTGCCGCGATGACGATTAATTTCTGATACGATTTGCAATTTCGATGTTATCGAAACTGACGACATTTTCGTCATATTCCAAACCTGTCTCAAATATTTTTGTAATTATGCATCAATAGGGTCTAAGGGGGATACGGGATGGTGTGTATATATTCATAAGGTATGTATGCATGCTTGAATCACATTCTTTGTGTAATATTTCCATGGTTTCAGGGTTTAATTAGTTCCGCTTGTCGAAACCTGCGGAACGATTAAATTAACGCATCAAGGGCAAAATGATCATGGAGGTTAGACCTAGCCGGGCCCATAAGACATGTCAGATAAGAAACGAGGCCCAGGCTAGGTCTAATGTTGTTGGACTAATATTTAGCATCACAGAGACATGTAGCACTATGATATGAGATAGTATGTATCCAACAGACCGAATATAATATTCGGTCTGTTATGATTGATATATTTCCTATGGAAATCGCGGTGATATTTTTTGCACATAAATTTCTCGTTTATTACAAGAATGTTCACCTTGAAAATTGGTGAATATGTTGAAGAGATGTTCATTTTAAACTAGAAGCAAAAATATTTGTATAAGGCGGGTACAAGTTGATATAAAATAATGAAATGTTCAGACTCACCAAAACTTCAGGATGTGTTTATAAGTACATCGCGAAATCAATGTCAAGGACGTTTGAGTTCACGAGATCCAAACGAGATATGCAAATTTTTTGAACTTTGACAACACATGACCACTTGATTACCTCGGCCTTCTTCATGAATATTTCCGCTCTATTTACTATAAATGAAGAAAATTAATCGGGATAATGATAATAAATGACTAGATCTAATAAATTCACGCACAAATGGAATTTATCAACACGCTTCCGTCCGCTCCACGTGTTATTTGTTTACAAATACACTGACGTCACTGGCTAAATCTCGTTTATCGTGAGAATTGGCATTGCCAAAATGGCTTGACCTAATCAATGGCTTCGCTACAAGAAGCGTCTGTACATTTTATGAATATCTTCAGTAAGAGGACAATATACGAAAAAATAATATTGTAAGTACTTTACAAGGTAATCATTTTATCATTTAACAAACTTATTTGTAACATTTATTCAACACCACATTTTACAATAGGTGACTTACAGTCTGAATATTTATTCAGACGAAGGATACAGTCTATGATATGAGATGAGCACTATGATAGGCCCTATAGTACTCTATCTATATAAAGCCCCATATCAGTCATCATAAACAATACCATATAAGGTGCTACAAGATCCTGTGTTTAGCATGTTAGTGACGAACTCAGGCCATGAAAAAAATAGTAAAACTGGATTTCCTTATTTTTCATAAAACATTGATATGGACTGTACTCACTTATATAACCCTATCTAGTGTCAGTCTCTCCAGGTTTGCTTGGTATAAAACTTCGCCTAAAATAATTCCTGTGTATTTTTCAATATTATTATCGGGATTTTTGAAAAGTAACTGATTTAGATGCAAAATTTGTTGAATTTTCGCAACTTCCTCTTGTTTGCTGGGCCAGTTTCGTTTTCCTGATAAAATTTTTTTGCGCGTGCGCACTCGTTGATATATTTGATTGGTCATTGAAGTGGTAGATTTTATCATTGACCAATCAAATTTATCAAAATATGCACATGTGTATAGTAAGAAAATTGTACCAGGAAAGCGAAACTGGCATAGCAAAGCTGTTAAAAAAGGAAGTTGTGAATTTCGACGAATCCAGGAAAACAAGGTAATATAATAGTATTAGATGACTTACCATGAAAAGACACATTGTATATTCTATAAAAGAAATTGAAATGTATGATAGGAAGTCCTCTGCAAAACTGAAGAGACTAGGACCATTGCCTAAAGGGTTTTCAAAACTGGATAGTCAGCATCTACAGTTGGGGACATAAATAAATGACAGGTGGATTTGCTGAAGTGAGGATTTCCCATGTTAAAAATAAGAGAATTTTCAAGAGGCCATACATCAGTGGATGAGATTATACAAAATGTAAAATATACAAATTTTAAGGGATATGTATCTAGACAATATTGGAAATTATGGGCTTTCAGACGACCATAATTAGGAAATGGTGATCGAAAATCGACCTGTCATTTATTTTTGTCCCCAACTGTACATGTGTATTAACCAAACCCATCTGACCCAGTTACAGTGGGGGACAAAAATAAAACTCAACGTTCACAAGTTGTCACAATGAGCTAATTTCCAAGTTTCGTGTCTCAAACTCTCCCAAGCGGTAGAAAAATAATTCCCGCTCACTAAAGTAGCACAATAAATGAATCCAAAGCTTCATACCTGCAAATAATGGATAAATCCCTACCAAATCGAATGAATGTTTTCATGAATCGCCATGTTTGTTATCCAAGGACGGTTGACTCCCAGAATGCAACATCAGTTAACCATATTTACTCATGACAGCTAAAAATGGCGGAACAGCATTTTGAAAGCTGGCACGTGTCATGTTGCATTCTGGGAGCCAATCTTCCGTTCCGGTGCAATCGGGCGACAAAATCACCTCCATATTTGAAGAGTCGGCATAACATGTGAATATCCACTTCAACTTTTGAAGTTCTTATTTGTCATTAGGGACACAAATTCCACTATATTTGGACTTACTAAGACGGAGAAAATAGAGCACTGAATACACTGAGGTAAGAATTTATTACATGTGCGACAGCATGTAATTTTCATAGCTTTTGCAATTCTTTATGATCCCCACTGTATCTACTCCTGAAGTAGTAGTAAGGAGTAGATAACTGGGCCAGACGGGTTTGGTTACATGTATATATCTAACATAACATAATCACTTTTATTATATGAAGATTGAGGGTGGCACATTCTAAGAAAATCTTATTTTGTACTTTTTGTGGATGATTTAAACACGCGGTACTTATTACCTTGCTACCCTGGCTTTGGAAAATCAATGATTGTGAGCTGAGGCTCGGGTATACTGTCATTAATAAAAAAAATCAGTCTTATTCTTGTCCATTAATATTACCGAAGTAATTTATTAAAAGAATCGAGCTCTCAGTATATTATACATGTACACCACGCATAATAACTTAGTACACTATATGATAGCGGACATTTTTAGCGCATTCCTGGGCCTCAGATTGTGAGTCTCACACTACACCGTTTTTCTTCAAACTTGTTCCATTAAGCATGTTAAAACCTTCACAGAAATACCTTTCAGTCGAGACATTGCTTTTGTTTACAAAGTCCCTCATTTTAGCGGCGTTTTGGTCCCCAGATGTGAAGTTGCAAATCCTCAGAGATTTCAACCACAATCCTTGATATCTCGCCAGTTCTTCTATCACTCTCCCCCATATTCTGCGCAAGGACTCCCATTACAACGCTGCATCAACATGTTTATTACAAGAAATGCAGCAATTTTCAAAAGACCTACGCAACTGTTCGAAATTGACCAAAATGCCTCGTTGTCTTCCAAAACGCCCCGCAGAGTCTATGACTACAAAACGTAAGACCTACGCAACTGTTCGAAATTGACCAAAATGCCTCGTTGTCTTCCAAAACGCCCCGCAGAGTCTATGACTACAAAACGTAAGACCTACGCAACTGTTCGAAATTGACCAAAACGCCCTGTTGTCTTCCAAAACGCCCCGCAGAGTCTATGACTACAAAACGTAAGACTTACGCAACTGTTCGAAATTGACCAAAACGCCCTGTTGTCTTCCAAAACGCCCCGCAGAGTCTATGACTACAAACGTATAGTTTCAAGATGTATAGATCCAACGAGGATTGTTGTTGTTGTTGTCGTTTCACATATATTGTTTTAGAAAACACATCAGACACCTCTTTTGTTCTTGGTGTCATATGTTCGGAATGAAATGAAACATCTATCTTAACCTCATTGGAACTAAATGACATAAACACAAAGTGTTTAGGTCTCTCAATATTGTAATTGTATAAAGGAAAGTTTGGTTGTTTTTAAAAAAGTATCTTGTTGATGAAATAAAAGGTTTATCTTTATTTTTATCTATTTTGGGGTTTTTGTTTTAATTTTTTGAATACTTCTTGTACAATCAACCAAAATTTCCTTTGTATAACTATAATATTAAGAGGTTTAAGAAAATGTTGTTAAACAATTGCAAGTTAAAAAACAAAAAAATGTTAATAAAAACAGTTATTATAAAATACAAAATAATTTTCGCATTAAATTGTTGTCAATCAGTCAACATTATAGGACCGTGTTTTTTTACAGAATGTTTTCAATAATTGGTTTAAGAGAAAAACATTGTTGAATTCAGTTTACCATATCGATACCTATCCTTTGATTATGAAATTGCTGTCACTTGACTTTTTGTAAATGTAAGTAATTTAGTAATTTAGCTTACCATACTATATATCCTAAACTTCAGGTATCCGCAAACTCAAATCTTATGCTATAGCCTTGTTAAATCGGAAAATGAGCGATTCCGGCAGTGTTATGTTGAAAATCACAAGCCTGCCTTTAATGTATTTAATGAATACCTCGATTCATAAGGAAAGTACTCACAATATGTGGGAAAACCACAAATTAAAAGCGCTTAAATAAGTAGCAATTGACCGAAAAAAAATTTTTTGCATTAAACTATTTGGACGTGTCCAAAAATGTCCCTTCTCATTCGTTAACTCCATTTTCTACATTTACAGCCATTTATGGCAATTTTAAGATAAAGATAGTTAAAATATAAACATGATCTTTAGAGCAGTGAATATTATTCCACGTTGTTGAATGGATAGTCTGTTTAAACTGAATTAAATAACACTAAATGCAAATTTAGTACATATATTTCTGGCATTTTTGGTATATAGGCCCTAATTGCGAGTACTATGAAGTATGGAATGATCGCCAAGATAGAAACATGGATATGAAGAAGAACATCTTAGGTAGAAGTCAAGTAAGGCCATAAGAAGTAGATTCTTTGTTGAGCGTCCCCTTGCTTGCACGATTTTGAGTAAATCAGAAAAAACAAACACATTTAAATTGCAATCACAAGGGTCTGAAAGTACCATCGCATTTCGTTCAATCAGAATCAATTGAAATAACGGATAATTTGACATGCGTCAAAATTGACGGTGATATTGATTAATTTGGGCATATATTGTGTATTTTCTTATTTTTTAGTCTTGAATAATAGCCATGTTTAAATATATGGTATAAAATGTATAGATATGTATTTGTTATCACTGCAAATTTTTTATGTCATCACTTTTTATGCCCATAAAATGTATACAATTCTCAGCAAACAAGTTTGTGTTTTTTCTAGAGTTTGTGTTTGTTTTCCTTGTATCCTTGCATGATTTTTGACAGGACACAAAACAAAGAATCTTATCCTTATGGCCTAATGTTAGTTTGTAAAATATAGAATATTCTTACCGTTTTGCTCTATTCCAACAAATGTCGTATTCCATGTTCTTACAAAACACATCTAAATCGTTTGAAAAACATGTCTGGAACAATTTCCATTGTTAAGACTTGACCGTGTATATCTGCCCTGTCAACCCTCATGCATTAGGCGTGATTGTCACGCATTTGCTGGAAAAATAGAAATCACGCATCAATGTAGCGTGTATGATCAAATATCACGCAAATAATTTTGTTGATATTTTTAAAAATCGTTTTTTGTGAAATGCCGACACGGTAAAATACCGAATGGCGAAAAAAAGCGAACACATTCCGTTTGTGTCACGCATTTTGTACAAAATATGTGTAAATATCACGCATTTGTTTCGAAAAAATTTATACCTTATGAACGGATGGAGGTGAGAGAACATCCTCCTGTTGTATACCCGAGAAAGTAATCAAACTGCAGTATTTGGTCATTTCTAATGCGCAGAATTTCTTTACTGGGGTCTTTCTGAAAATGTTGGTTACCTCTATATACTAAGTTTGTATACTATAAAATAAGTTAGCATATCTTGCTAGATTGTTTAGCATATCAATACGAGGAAGACTTTGGAAAAGTTGATGCTAAATCCTATGCTAGTAAAACTTATGTAAATGCTATGCTAGAATAATTTATGTAAAATGCTAGTAAAAGTTATTAGAAATGCTATGCTAGTAAATATAAAAACAACGGGGTTCGAAATAAATTATAAACACAAAATGCAGTATGTAAAAAGGTCAATCTGACATATGTTTGTGTAAGAATATGTTTTTATTTGTGTTGAGTCTTTTGGAAGTGTTCATAACCCCTTATCTTATTGATTCAAAAGAAAAATGATAGAAAACTGCAAATATAGTGCATGTTTAGTATCATAGTAGAAGGTAAGGATATTAATATGTTATATACGGTAGGTGTAGTGCAATAAGATTAGTAATGAGATGTTAAGTTGATATTGTTTTCATTTTTATGTCACCACCAAAAGTGGTGACATATTGTTATGGTCTCCGTTTTTTTTGCGACGGCGTCTGGCGGTTGGTGGTTGGTGGTTGGTGGTTGGCGTCCGGCGTCTGTAACAATTTCTTACAACTTCCTATAACTTAACAAATACTGTTTAGACTGACTTCAATTTTTTTCTAAATCATCTACATGTTCTCAGAAGTTCAAATCTGACTTTAGATTTGACATTTGACCTTCAATGACCTTCTCAAGGTCAAAAAGGTCTTTTTTCAACTTGCTTCACATTGACTAAATTTTTTTTCAAAATCATCTACATGTTCTCAGAAATTCAAATCTGACTTTAGATTTGACATTTGACCTTCAAATCTGACTTTAGATTTGACATTTGACCTTCAATGACCTTCTCAAGGTCAAAAAAGGTCAAAAAGGTCTGTTTTCAACTTGCTTCAAATTGACTAAATTTTTTTTTCAAAATCATCTACGTGTTCTCAGAAATTCAAATCTGACTTAAGATTTGACATTTGACCTTCAATGACCTTCTCAAGGTCAAAAAAGGTCAAAAAGGTCTGTTTTCAACTTGCTTCAAATTGACTAATTTTTTTTTTCAAAATCATCTACATGTTCTCAGAAATTCAAATCTGACTTTAGATTTGACATTTGACCTTTAATGACCTTCTCAAGGTCAAAAAAGGTAAAAAAGGTCTGTTTTCAACTTGCTTCAAATTGACTAAATTTTTTTTTCAAAATCATCTACATGTTCTCAGAAATTCAAATCTGACTTTAGATTTGACATTTGACCTTCAATGACCTTCTCAAAGTCAAAAAAGGTCAAAAAGGTCTTTTTTCAACTTGCTTCAAATCGACTAATTTTTTTTTTCAAAATCATCTACATGTTCTCAGAAATTCTAATCTGACTTTAGATTTGACATTTGACCTTTAATGACCTTCTCAAGGTCAAAAAGATCTGTTTTCAACTTGCTTCAAATTGACCAAATTTTTTTTTCAAAATCATCTACATCTTTTCAAGTGTTCTAATTTGACTTTACAAGTTCTCAGAAATTCAAATCTGACTTAAGTTTGAACTCATAATATTGTGAGCAACTAGGTGGTGACATTTTGTCATGTTAATGCCTTGTTGATATATTACCAAGTTAAGATTATATCAATATAACAGGTATAAACGAAAAGAATCTAAAGTATAGTACCTGGACCAAATGAATATCTGTGAAACAGATATAGACTTAAAAGCAGCCATCATCAAAAATCATACCATTTTTTATTTTCAATGAGAAAAAGATGTTTCTGAGCTATCAAGGCAACATTTGTCTTAACATCTTTGTCAGACCTATTTTCTTTAAATATATGGACATGCCTATCTATTTCAGCATTTAGAAGTGTAAATTAAGTTACAGTTTCCATAAGAGGAGTCTTATAGATTTTTAAGATATACTTCATTACAAGATTTTAACTGCAGAATTGTGCAGAAAATGCTGAACTAACATTTATTCAGGGGGTTTCTTTATCGATAATGAAAATAGATGTAAGCCTTGGTGAAATATCAAAAACTTCAATTTATTCTGACACTAGGTCTATGATTGTTGGATACATCTCTGCACTAATTGTTCAGTCTTTAACAGAAGATATTAAAATGCAGAAATGCCTAGCAACTAGAAATTATCTTGAAATAAAGACAGAATTGTTAGACTTTTTTATTTAGAAATTGGGCATTGCATCGAAAATAGAGAGCAAAATCTTACTCTCAGAGTCTGTAGATGTCCCCTCTGATCCCTTTATAATTAAGGAAATAGATTCTTAAATGGATACCCATTTTTGTGTTTCAGATCAATGAAACAAAGAGTGAAGGCGGACCACAACCATGTGGCTGTTTGCAACGTGTCCATATGTTATATTGCTCTCCATAGTAAATGTTGATATTGGAGGTAAGTGTTATCATGATGACAGCTAAATTTCAAAATGGCCACTAATTTTAGTAAAAAAAACATAATCTTTGATAACTCAAATATCAGGGGACGGATTTGGTTCAAAATGCTGGCAAAGGAGCTCTGTTCAAGAAGATGGCTGCTATTTATCAAAACATGTTTTGTTTGGTGGGATTTGCTACTCCATGATGTTGCTGTTTTCTAGTTGTCTTTTTTTAAGCTATCCATGCTTTGACAACTACAGCCAGCCCACCAGGGGATGAGTGTGCCATGTGGAAGAGTGTTACCAACAACTTAACCCACAACCCTTGGATATTAATGCATTGTACAGACCATAGTTCTTGTAATGGCTTTGATTGCGCTGCTACATATTCAAATAATGTGAGTAATAAAGAGGATGATAACTATAATTTTTGTATTAGCCAAGGCGAGAAAGTTATATACTAGCCACTTATTTAAAGGGGCACTATGCATAGTTTAGAAGAAAAAAGGATCAAATAATCATTAAAAGATGTTACTTGCACACACAGTCAAATATGTTAAAAAGCTTGATTTGCATTAATATTGAAACAAGAAAAAAATAACTCACTTGGAAAACAGCATTTGAAGAGTTCATTAGTTGTGCATGCACACTTTTGACAAAGTACATGTTTTTTAATAACTCATTGTATTTATAGAAACAAAAGATTTTACAATAAAATTCAAAACTACAATAAGCTTTTTTCGAAGTAAATCTTTGATTTGTATACAGAAGGAAATTTTCTTTCTCCCAAGCTTTTCATTGTATTGTTTTCTGAAGTATTAATAGATTTGTATAATTTTCTACTTTTAGGGTTATATCACTAGCATGCAAGATTTTTCATTAAGCTTCTGCTTTGGCCTGGTTCTGAACCAGTGTGATAGTCCATTGAATATGGTTACATTTATGGAAGTGCCAGATAAGAAAATCAATTTCACCAAAAAATTCTATGAATTTTATGAAGATGTAACATATCAAATTCCAGGTAAATACAAAAACTTACTCCATGTTATTATGTACATTTTACATGTCTTTGCCTCTTTCATTTGACCACTTGCCTCGAGAAAACCTGTATTTTTACACAGGGCTAAATTTTTTTAACCACTGAATTTTATTTTATTTTATTTTTTTATTTTTGCTAGTAATGAAAATCAAATTTCAATTTTACAACTTAGAAGTTTGGCAGGAAATTAAGTGACTGTTACTTTTTGTTTGTATAAACCATCAGAAATTGAAGATTGTTACTCATAATTGCGGATTTGGAAATTCATAAGGACGGCAGGGGCAAAAATATTCTTACAAATTTTGAGCCAATTTAGGAGAATTTGTTTTTCAGATATTTGGCCTTGTATTGAAAATGAGGCTAAAAGGGCCTGAGAGCCTACCCCAAGATTACCCATTGCTTTATCATGTTATTTCCTAATTCATTGCTTCATTGTTCTTTACCAGGTACAACATATGATCTTGGTGTAGGGACTGCTGATGCCTTTGTAGATGTAACTCTTGAGAAATCTGATGATGGAAAATTCATCACTATAGGGGTAACTGTGTATTTTTGGCTCATAACATGAGCAGAACTATATTAGATGAATGAAGCAGGCTAATATGAAAAGATAATAACAGTTAAATACAGGGTCACTGTTCCGTCAAAGTAACCTGGTAACAACATCGATGAACTTCCTGGATAAGAGTTTTTTGTTTGTTTTCTTTTAGAAATGCTCTTGGTTGGAATTCATTTTTTAATTTGATTTAATTTGTAATTGATTGATTTAGACCATTGCTTTTGTTACATTGATGTAAGTCGTCAAGGTAACACACATTGTTAATATAACAAACTTTTATCAATGTAACAAAAACAAACGGCTAAATATATGAATTGCAACTTCATTTACAAAACAAATTCCAAATCGAAGAAACTTATTAAAACTTGACTATATTTCCTAGCTTTGTGCCAAATTATAATCTTCAACTTGACTTAAAAGTAGGTTTAAATCGTGAAAAGAAAAAAATCGTAACCAGGAAGTTCATCCATTTTGTTACATTGACGTTCCTTCAAAGTAACTAGTTTCGGAACAGTGAGGGTGGGCCAAAAAACAATACTCAAGTTTAAAGATGATTTTCATCTTGTATGTGAAATCATGCCATTTATACAAGGAACATAAATAATTTCCTAACAGTATGATGCCACCTGATTGAGAAACTGTTGTTTACCAACCATTAAATTATTCAATGCGAATTTTCAAATTGTTAAAATGAAGGGAAATTTGAACTTTGGCACCTTCAAAAGAGGTGCATTTGTACAAGTTTAGTGCAAAATTCACCAATAATACCTCAATCTTTTGAATTAACTTTCAATTGTATATTACATATTGAGTGAAGCTAAGGCTGCAACATGAAGGGAAATTCGGGAATTTTCATTTAGAGTTTTGGTTGCTCATGACAATTTTAGTATCCAACAAAAAAGTTTTTTCAATCGGATGGTGTCATATTGTAAAGAAATGATTTATCTTTAAAATTATATATAATACATGGCATGGTTTAAGGTATATCATATGAATCATTCATCTTTAAACTTGGAGGGTACTTTTTTGGCCCACCCTGTGTATACCACCAATGGATGGATGGCCAGACAGACTGATGGATGGACAGACAGAGGAATGATGGATGGATGGACAGACAGACTGATGGATGGACAGACAGAGGAATGATGGATGGACAGACAGACAGACCGATGGATGGATGGACAAATGGACAGACCAACAGACTGATGCCTAGTCAATCCCATAGGCTCCCTGTGTGAGCCAACCACACTGTACATGCTATTTTCATATTTTGTCTATTAATTTTGTCTTCCCATAGTATCTATTTCATCTGTCAATCACCATTTTCCAAGTCCTCTCAGTTCTTAGTTTTCCAAGTAGTGATAGTGATTTTTACATCAAAAGTTGAATTAAAATACAGTATGCTGTATAGAACTTCCATATGATGTTTTTTATGCTGCTTTGGGCATAATGTAATGTACATTTGTATTCAAGAAATCTATAGCCTTATGAATTATAGCTTTGGACATTCACAATCCATACAATTCTGGGACAGAAAATCTTAAAAAAATGTTTTTACAGTTACTACTGAAAGTGCGTGTAAAAGTCCCTACGTTGCCAGCACAGTGGCCTGATGAACTCCAGAGAGCGGTTCTTCCCACAACTACCATTCCAGCACACCCATGTAAATCCAAGGCACCAATGCCAACCCCAAGACACCAATGTGTTCCCCCGATGAAAAAAGATTCTGGACTTCGTTCATCTTCACCAACAACTTCTTGTAAGTAGTACCTGATGGTCTCAGGTAATACTAAGTTTCTCTTGCAGGTTTTTGGGGATGCTAATTAAAAACTTAATTTGTACCAGCTACCAAATTTATTGCATATTTGTACAGTGCTCCATTATACATGATTAAAATTGAACCGGTCTATCTATGTGATATGTACATATTTCTTTAAGCTGGAAGACCCCCTGTGAAGCCTCCCACTGAAAGACCCTATAAACCAGTACCAACAAAAAGACCTCTTCAACACACTCAACAGCCTCCAGCTATTGATGGGAAAGGTTTGTTCATGCTAATTATCCCAACGAACGAAGTTCGGTAGGGATATAGTGAAGCCCTCCGTCCGTCAGTCCGTCAGTCAGTCAATCAGTCCGTCCGTCCGTCCGTCCGTCCGGAAGATAACTCAAATACGAGTTGACGGATTTTCTTCATATTTAGTGGAAAGATGTATATTGGTGAATAGTTGTACGCAAAAAAAAATTTTTTCAAGATGGTCGCCGCTTTAAAAATGACGGGACTTTTTCGCAAAAAACATAAATTTTTCATTCTAAACCAAAGTAATTCATATTATTGTTTGAAATTTTGGCAGTACACTGTATATTCACAACATCTATCTATTTCACATATATTCCGTGTTTTTCATCCTGACCCCCAGGGGCCGTGTATGGGGGGTCAGGAAAACAGTAATTTTCGCTAATTTTTAGATCTTTCTGAAGTATAGCTTTATTATACTCAAATGAAAGGCAATTAAGAGTAGATTGCAAATATTGTATCTTTTTTCTGATTCGAGCCTCGTAAAATTCAAAATGGCCGTCTAATATACGATTTCACAATAATTTTTCGATCCCTTCAAAGTATGGCTATATTATACTCAAATTGAAGGAATTTTGGAGTGGATCACAATAATGGTATTATTCTTCAGATTTGTACCTCAGAAAATTCAAAATGGCTGCTTTGCAGGAATTCGCAATTCTAAAATCTAAATTTTTCAATTTTAACCAAAGAAATGAGTATAATTGATTGGAATTCGGTAATTGATATTTTGTTCGTTGGGATTTGCTACTCCGCGGAGTTGCCATTGTCTAGTTTGAAGCAACTGTGATTTTGTTAAATTAATTTCTTATCCCATCGAACTAAGATCAGGGGAATATCACACGAGAATAGCCTGACAACGGTAAAGTCAGATACCATTGTCACAAATGGCGGACATAATCGTCGCTTCAATTAGAATTTCATGAATTGTATGTTTAATAGAGCACTTAGACTAAGTTGCTTTGTACAGTTAATAATGTTCTACCATCGAAATAAAGTCTAGTTTAACCGATCAAAATGAGATACGGGACAACAGACACTGTAATTACCATATGCCGTTGTCTTTCTAAATTACTCAAATTCAGATTCTGTTGTCATTAACGATATAAAAGACGCTATATTGTGACGATTCACGACCCAATTTGATCGCAATTGGGATTTCATATGAAACATTATCACAAGAGGTTATACATGCACAGAATTAGCGACGATGAAATCCCTTGAAATGAGGACTAAGTGATTAAACAGTTGAAGCGACGGTTATGTCCGCCATTCAGTATCTGACTTTACCGTTGTGCCTATTTTAGGATTTTTGCTTTAGCTCGAAAAGTAGTAGAGTGATTTTGTTCATGGAGCGGTTTTCTTAGAATTTTATATGTTTAATAATCAGTACACTATCTATTGAAGATTTGGCTATGGCAGCCAGTTTTATGTGTTTTTTCACATTTTTGTTTTCTCATATGAACAATATTAACTTGTCATATTTTACGTTTTTACTTATAGATTGAAAAATAATGGAGCGATTTTCTTGGAATTTTATATGTTAATACTGAAAAAGCATATTTATTCTAATGACTCATTGGCTAATACATGGCCATTATAAATAATAGTGTCCATTTTTATATGTTATTCTATGTTTTTGCTAGATGTATATAACTAGAAAAATTATGAAGCGATTTCTTTAAATTTTATATGTCAATACATTATTACACTATCTAATGACAATTTGGCTGATACATGGCCATTATAAATATGTTATTTATGTTTTTTTGCTATAACTAGAAAAATTATGGAGAGGTTTCAGAATTTTATATGTTGATAATCTGTACACAATCTATTGAAAATAAATTTTTTGTGTTATTTCACATTTTTGTTTTCTCATTTTAATGAATATATATTTGATTGATTCTAGGTTCGTTTTTACAAAAATGTGAGAAGACAATTACGATCAACAATGCATATAACGAAATTCACCTGCATAGCAATGGTGGTGAATACTACAAAGATGGTGAGAAGATCAAGTGTGATGTGTGGTTTGTCTCTGGAGTCCCTAATACTACAATCTCTGTCAAGTTTCCATCCTATGGTATTGCTATTGATGGTGACACACAGTCAGACTGGCCCTCATCTGCACTATCAGCAGGCATACCAGGTGCTCCACATGCAAGAGGTGATGATGGGTAAGCAAGAATTTTTATGAACATAAATGTAACTAATTATGTTGTGCAGGTTACAGGTACCGTGGAGTAAGTTCACTATCTGTCAGATAGTCTGTCTGGAAAATAACTCACTTACTAATGGATGGATTTGCTTCATATTTATTGGAAATATGTATATTGGTAAACAGTTTTACGCAAAAAGCTAGGTAAGATATGGCAGGCATTTTCAAAGGGCTATATCTTTAGTTCTAAGAATAACTTTAATCACAAAAACAAATGGTTATGCTAGATCCATGTCTTGTCTTCAATAAATGACAGTAGGATGATAATCAAGTCGATTGGATTATCTCTTAAGCTGTCCCTAATCTAACCATCTTCGCCAATTTTCCCGAATTCGGCCGCAATTTTCACCAAAAATGCAGCATTTTATTTCAGCTTTTATGGCAAAATTAGAATTTATTGTAAGGAATGATTTACCTCTGAAAAGGAAAACTTAATTACTTTGGGATTAGGATAATCCGAAAACAATGATTTTTTTAGGCCGAATTTTCGACCTAAAAGTAGCAATTTTTTAATAAGTTTAATGCACGAAAACATTGAGCTATGTCACATGATTGATCTCCAAAAAGAAAAAAAAATGATCTCAATGAGATAAGCATTATCTGATAATCCATTTGTCATTTTTACCTCATAGGTCATGACCTTAGTGTATAGTGTATGAAAAGATGTCACTTAGAGCGACATTAAGATGTACCCTATTTTATGCAATGATGTTTATAGATAGAGTTATATATGGTCCATATGGTCCATTGTTTTTGCTGATTGGAATTTTTATGGAATAAACAGTTTAATGCTATGGGTTTTGCCCTTTGACAATAGGTACATTGCATTGTGTAATTAAGATATACACACTTCCCTACCACGTGACCACGTTTAAAAGGGAAACAGGGTACAGCTAAGTTGCAAATGGAGGACGTGGGTTTAATTCCATATTTCTGAACGTAAAATACATTTTACATTTATTTTTAGTGTTCTACCAGACATAGAATTGATTCATCAAGCAGTTTGTAGAAAAAAAACCACTATAGGCAAAGTTAGATAATAGTGGGCGCAGTGAAGCAAAACTTAATGCAATACACGATACATTTCAGTAAATCTGTCAACGTACAGGGAGCATGTAAGTTTCCCTTCGAAAATGTTACATTGATTGGCAAATCGTGAAGAACAAAATGTCGTGGCATGATGGTATTTTGAACAAACTATTTTAAACGATCGGTTTTTGAGGACGGTAGTGAATTAGACCATTCAAGGGGTTATATCGAAAGATTCTTTACATGTAGTTCACGCAATTTTAATTATTCTGAATAGCGGATAGTCATTAATCCTGATAGCCAATAGTCATTTATCACTTACGTGTTTATATTTAATTTCGTTATTTTATTTCAATTTGATACCCTAGTTACACGTATAATCTAGCAATCTAGTGTTCTTGTTAATTTAATGACTAAAATGCATTTACGACCTGAAAGCCCGTGTCTAAATCTACTAAATAATGTTTACTTTATTTGGATTAAATAACAACTTTTGCAGCTGTGTACCGTGTACTATGACATATCAAATATTTTAAAATTTAAAACGATATTTTTTACATTATTTCTTCAACTATCATATAACTTGGAACATGGACTTCACTATTGCGCCACTGAAGTTCAGCGAATAGCAATATTGACTCACTCCGAGCACCAAACGTATTAACCTTTTCACTAAGCAGTCGATATACTCAAAAGCGACCTGATTGAAAGCCAAAAAATTCGCGCATGCGCTATCGAGGTAGGGTAGTGTGATATAGTCATTCGATCACTCTACTAGTATTCCCTCAGTCAATACTTCGGGCTTTGTATAAAAAAAACTTTATAACTTGTACCCACGTACCTACGTACTTGGGGCATGATACATTCTTTGAAGGGTTCATTTCTAACGTTTCAGATTATTCAGATTATATGAATTGTAGGTGCATTAATGCACTAGTAGACCTGATGACCATTGTGAATTCTTGTCTTTTATGGATTATGGCGACGGCTTTTGAGAATGGATGTTGACCCTTTAAAACGCCTATGGACTTGGAAGAGACTAGATTTTATCTATCCCACATCATTTGAGACTGAATGCTCTATCTTGTATGAGTACTTGTATCTACAACTATTTTTGAGGTTATGAGTATTGGCTATCAATTTCTAATTTTTTCTTCTACATGTATTGTAATGACTTCAGTATGAATGAAATGTCCCTTGGTGTTCTGGTCTTTGATTGTGATATCGGTTCTTGAATGTTTGGGGGAAAGGGGGTATAAGACATTGTTTCCTTTCACGTTAGATCATGGTTTTGAGATATATGGTGTTTGTTTTTCTTGACTGGTATGCACTTAGAGTTTGCTTTTTCTTGCTAAGTTCCATTACAACTTTTGGTCCTTTCCCTTGACACCAGTGCTTAGATATTCTTATAGAACTAACATTTCTAGTCATAAAATAAGGCCAGAATTGCAAAATTGTTTATTTTTGCTATTTTATCCTCGATAAAAAATGCCTAATTGAAATGCTCGTTCACTATAGAACCAATCTATACTAAAACGTTTTTTATTTGCTGGGAAATTCCAGGAAGTCGTCTAAAAGGTGTCACCTATATTGCCACATTTAGATTGCTCCCCCATTCAATATGGAATCATCATCCACTGTTAAGCACAACTGCACAAATTACAGTGTCGTGTGTTGGGGTGAATTTAAGATTCCTGAGACTAAAATTATCTTTATTCATGCTGCGATTAAATAAAATGAAACATAGAATACCCTGACATATTTAAAACTTAGACTTAACTCACTTAACTCAGTGTTAGGATGGATTTTCTCTATTGAAAAGTCCTTTGGAAGGCACTATTTTGACAATCAATAAAAACTAAAATTAACAATTTTGGCTTTATTTTATGACTCTATATCTATCTATCTTTGACTAGACGAATTTCACATCTATGGATACTATGAATGTTAATTAATACCTCAGATAGCATTAAAATTTTGGTCAATTTGAAGACCTTTTTACCTTAAAGAATGTACAGTAGTAACAAAGAAGAGTGCATTCTTGTTCTATTGTTTTTGAAAAATGGACACTGTAAGCTATCTAAAACCAGTGTGGCACAAAATGTGATTGACAGTGTTTGGCTCAATATTAACACCTTGACTGTCACATACAGTGCACCGAAGCTGCACTAATTAAACCCTTTTCAATCGCTCAATAGTTGAATTGTGAACAAAAAATAAATAAAAGTTTTAACTGTACCTTGCCTGATACATGCAGTGCATTGAAGCTGAACCAATTAAACCAACCCACTTCTTTACACACTTACCTCATAGTTAATACAAAAGATTTTTTCTAAACTTGGATCATGGGTCATTTACCTTTCATAAGAGTCAGTGTGGGGTTTAAATAAGATAAACTATTCGAACTTGTTCTTATGAGAACTAATAACTAATTCACTAAAGGGAGTCGCATTGGCACATACAAATGCTTTTGGGTTCCCTGGCTGCCACTTGGTTTGGGGTTGTTGCTTTTAGGGGCTGTAATTAGGAATAGAGGTTTTGGTTCAAATGAGGGATCCCAAACTTATCTGTAGGCCATATGCCTATGTAAAAGTAGAAGTGAGCTTATGAACATCGATAGCACTCATAAGCTGCCTTCCTACTACTTTTCCCTAGGCCTATGCTGTAGGTCAATCGACGGAATTATGATTAAGCTTAGAGGTGCTGTGATTCCAGAGATTAATAAATGCTGCATCTAATATATCACCATTGTAATTAAGGGCATTCTTGAGTGGATTTGACCTAGGATGAAGAAACTATATAGGTGACCACGGGCGATGAAAGCACATTATAAGTAGTTTTCGCGAATTCAACTAACAGCTGCCAGATCAACCTACTATTTTATGCCTCATTAAATATTAATAGTAAATGCCACTATTTCATTCATATTAAAATGAATTTGCCATCAAAAGTAGGTTAAATCATCGCCTTTTACCCAACATATGACATCATGAATACTTTCAAAGTGCAGTCTAATACTGAGTGAGCCAAAAATGTAGCCCAAACATATTCCGCATGTGCTAAAGAGTTATTTCGCATAATAAAACCTTGTTTAATGTTCTTTCATTTTACTAAGTTTAATTGGCCCTGCCTAAATGGTCGGGATTTTATGTCTATAATACGAAATATGGTCCAAAATGCCAGCCTCATCTCATGACTATGGGCTATCTCTGATATAATGTAAACCCCAACAACAAGTTGGAGAAAAATTTCTGTGACCGTGAACTTACAACCTCAACCGACCAGTGCAGGTCTTGCAAATTTGTAGAATTGCCATAGAATTGTGGCAATGAGAAATGGACCCATGAAACATGGTAAAACGCAAAAAAGATATTACATGGTAAAATGAGCCAAATATGATTTCAACTAATACTGGATAAATGAGTTTATATCATTCCTTTTGATAGCAATTTTGTCTCACCCTGTAATTCATTTTATTTTCACACTTATTCATTTCAGCCTGCCCAAACAAAAATCTAGGTTGAATAGTCAAAACCAGGTACATGTAATTACAAAGAACTATTCAGTATATAAATAGCTCTACGTGAATGACACAACTGTTTTATACACAAACAATATAAGGTAAATTACAGGATTAAGCCAATCCATAACGCTGAGTAAGTCACTAGCTGAGTGTTTGAAACAATGTAGCAAACAAATTATTGTGACACTTAGCTGCCCTCTATTTTGTTATTGTATAATATTAGTATGAAGCACTTAATAATATCAGAAAAAATTAGGAAAAAATCACGAAAAAAATACCAAAAAGTAGGTTCATAATTAACTTTTCCCCTTTACAGTTTAGATTGTGTCTAAAAGTTCAATACAACTTTGCACTAAAAATTATTAAAAAGGCCTGCATTTTTGGTGAAAATTGCGTAAGTATTAGGGAAAATTGGTGAGGATGGGTGGATTAGGGACAGCTTAAGAGATAATCCAATCAACTTGATTATCATCCTAATGTAATTTATTGAAGATAAGACATGGATCTAACAGAACCATTTAATTTTGTGGTTAAATTATTTTTCAAACTAAAGATATAGCCCTTTGAAAAATGCTTGCCATATCTTACCTACACTTTTTACCAAAAAGTGGGATCCAGTTTCAAAATATAATTACAATTTAGAAATGGGATATTCATAAATCTATTCCCTCGATTAGGAAATGAGGAAAAATGTTGTAATGAAATGTCCTTTCCTGGTTTCTTTGAGAAACCTTCCTCTCAGTGCTGTTTACATCATTTAAAAGATACAGCTATTACTATCTAAATAGACATTGTGATTATATTACAGCATACTGGTTTATGACATGGTGGCAAAGAAATACATGTTGGGGGATAGTGAAACGAGATGGGCTGGCGCAAAAGGACTAAGATGGCATTTTTCAGGTGGTGATGTACAACAGAAGGAGTATCAATACTACAACATGTACCTGGGAAAGATGAAAGATGTGGAGACAGTAAAGAAGTTTACAAAACCAGCCAAAGTGTATGTGAGCTATAAAGGAGAACCAAGGAAAGATAGTTTTACTATGGAGATTGGGTTAGTTGGACTCCCAACAACCACCCCTACACCACCATTACCAACAACAACAACAACACCCATATCTTCAACACTAACACCAAATAAAATAACAACAGCAATTGGTAAGCAATTGTTTAGCCGTCCATGTTCACATTGCAGTTATGAATACAATCTTTATTTTTAGAAATATTGTCGGCCAAATATTATTTATATTTTGTATTCATATGCTCTAGTAGGCAGTCATTTTAATGTCCTCACATGGGTTAGCTATTGCAATTGCCCACTTGTCTGTCTGTGTGTCCCTCTGTCTGATAACAATATTGAAAGGGTTCACCTTTTAAATTTGTGTATATAAAGTATTCAGTAGTTCCATAAGTGGCATCTCAAAAGCTCGCATAGATTCAAAAAATTTTTTTTTTTTTTTTTTTTTTTCTTTTTTTTTTTTATTCCAAATAACATATATACAATACATAATATTTACAATCTAAGAGCTTTTTCGCTCTCATAAAAAAACAATAAATTTCCCTCACAGTTCTTATATTTGAAATCATGAATAGTTTTCTTAATAACAAGGGTTTCGTAAAATAACTCTGGCTTCATTTCAGCCAGTCCTAACTTTTCGTTATTGTTTAACTGGCTACCTTGCCATAAAATACTTATAGAGGGACAAGTAACGAAAAAATGTAAGTTATCATCTCTTGCATTGCATTGTTTGCATAAATCACTTGTTTCTATTTTACATTTTTTTAGATAAACACCATTAGGGTATATGTTATGGAAAATCTTCCATTGTATAACTAACAGTGATGCTTCTTTTGTACAATGAAAAAGGGATTTCCATATTCCTTCAGATATATTTATCCCATCATATTTGATTTTGCATGTTCTTTTTAGAACAAGTGACTCTCTAATGTTTTGTGATGACACTTTCTTGATGTTAATATTGTTAAAATACAATGTGTCATCAGTGTTATTTAATTCATACAAATCCTGTTTTATGCAAGCTTTCAGCATATTATATTGTAACAAAGTTTGACCAGTTTTTCCGATTTTACATGTCATTTCCTCATAAGTACATAGTCTACCATTTTTAATAACATCATTTATAAATATTATTCCTCTATTTATCCAATTATAAAAAACCAAAGAGTGACCACTCCATGTAATGTTACAATTATTCCATAGGATGTTATTATTTCTATGCCTATTATGCTGCATCCATATTTTAAGTACAGATTTATAAAAATTGTTGAAATGCTCACATCCTTTAAGTTTATTAAATTCAATGTTACTATTCAAGACACTGAAATTATTTCCAACCTTATTAAACATATACAATGGAATACACTTCCAATGACCTTTACTTTCATCTTGTAATCGTTTGATCCATTGAATTGCAAAGGCTGATTGCAAATCAAAACAATTTATCATTTTTAGGCCACCATGTTTAAAATCTTGAACTAAAATATCACGCTTAAGTTTATCAGGGACCCTTTTAAGATCCTCCTCTTTATATTTGCCCTTTGACCACAAAAATTTAAAAAGTAGCGTATTAATTCTATTTAGTAAGTTGTCTGGTAAAATAAAGGCCTGCATGATATATGAAAATTGAGATATAATGAGTGATTTGGCTAAAATTACCTTTCCCATAATGGTAAGATATCTGCCTGACCACGATTTAATAATATTCATACATTTCCTAAACTTTGGCTCAAAATTTACGTCATTTCTCACAACATTTAATGTAGTGCTAAATGTTATACCAAGTACTTTTATACTATTTTCTTGACCAAGTTTCCATTTGACGTCTCCTAATGTGTCATTTCTATGCTTCCATTTCCCTAGCCACATTGCCTCAGTTTTATGTACATTCATTTTAAGACCAGATATATTTGAAAAAGCTTCAAAATCATCTATACATTTTAAAAATGATTGCTCATCTTTAACAAAAATAGTAGAATCATCTGCATATTGGAGCAGCTTAACATCTTCATTACAACCTGGTAATTCTATTCCATGAACATCATGGTTGCTTCGTAATCTGCATGCCAACAGTTCACATGCAATTATATACAGTAAAGGTGAAAGGGGACACCCTTGACGAATACCACGCTCTAATTTAATATTACCTACAATCCAGCCATTGTGAAAAATATGACTTTGGCTATTTTTGTTCAAAGTTTCAATCCATTTGGTCAAAGTGTCACCAAAGCCAAAAAATTTAAGAGAATACAACATAAATTCCTTTGATATGGAATCAAAGGCTTTAGAGTAATCAATAGCCAACATGATACCCTGCAAATTATTTGTGTTAAGATATACAATAATGTCATCAATTGCTCTTAAAATCTGAGCTGCAGTTCTGGATTTGATATAACCACATTGGTCCTCATGAACAATATTACAAATTACACCTTTTATTCTAGTAGCAATAACTTTAGCAGCATTTTTATAGTCAACATTTGTAAGGGTCAATGGTCTCCAGTTTTTTAATTCATTCCGATCCATATCCTTTTTTGGAATAAGTACCATTAAACCTTTTTTCTGGGTATGTGATAATTCACCTTTCGAGTAAGCCTTATTAATTGAAAGTACAACCAGTTTACCTATTTTTGTGAAAAACATCTTATAAAAAGCAACTGTAATTCCGTCTAAACCAGGGCTTGAATCATTTTTCATTGAGTTAATTGCTAATTTACATTCATTAAGTGTAATTTCACCTTCACAGCTACTGCTTTGTTCATATGTTAATTTTGGTACATATACATCCCTCATAAAATCATCCAATACAGCAGGTCTGAAAAGAGTTTTCTTTGAATATAAATCACTGTAAAACCTATTAATTTCATTAATAATATGATCCTGATTTTTTACAATGTCACCATTACTAAGTTTTAAAGATGAAATACATTTGTGTTTAGCTCTTGCTTTCTCAAGTTGTAAAAAGTACTTTGTGTTCATTTCACCCTGATCACATCACTCAACCTTTGATCTCACCTGAGCACCTCGAGCCTCATTAATAGCACATACATCATATAATTGTTTATAGTCATTAACTTTATTTTTTAAAGTTATATTGTTAACATCTTTAGCAAGAGCTTTACATGCATTCTCTAGATTCATTTTCACCCTTTTCATATCATCCCTTCGTGCTTTTGCCATTTGCTTGCCATAGCTCATAGAAAAATCTTTGATCTTAGATTTACAATTATCCCAAAGTACATCTGCACCTAAATTGTATTCATTTAAATTTACATTATCTAATATAGCATTCATTTCTCTAACAAAATCTATATCTTTGAGCATGCTGTTATTAAATTTCCAGTATGATGGACCTTGTGCATGAGTTTCACTTGAAAAATTAGCAATAACACCTCTATGATCAGATCCAGGCATGTCTATGATATCTGAAAAGCAAACCTTGTCAAAAGCTACTTCATTCATAAAAATATAGTCAATTCTCCTTACAATATTATTTGACTTATGTCTCCAAGTAAAATCTTTTACATCAACATGGTGGAGACGCCAAGTATCAATCAAATCACAGTTACCAATCAATTTTTTGAAAGAATCAATCTCAAGTTTTGGATGTTTTGCACCTGATAAATTATCAGCTTGAGAATCTATACAGCAATTAAAATCACCACATAAAATGAAGTTACTGTTATTAACATATACGTCATTAATTTTCTTCATTATAGTCTTAAAGAATTCTGTTTTTTCAACTGTTTTATTTGGTGCATATATATTAAAGCAAGTATATTGCTCACCTTCATAATCAAATTTAACTACAATAGTTCTATCATATTTACTCACAATAATATTTTCACAGTCAAAAGATTCAAAATGGCAGCCATATTTATTGTCTTGAAAATCAGGGTTTCAACTCTTTTTGGTCATTATTACACTAGCAATACATCTGTTTGTTTGAACTTGTATAGGTACTTTAATTTAAAGGTTATCAATAATGTGTTTAAATATCAGCAAAATATAATGCAGAGATTCACCATGGCCACCATTTGTATTGTAGAAAAATCAGATTTTCAGCTCTTTTTGGTCATAACCCCTCAAGTATTCCATCAATTTGCTTAAAATTGTACAGGTACCATTGAATTATCAATCATTTCTACAAGTTTCAGCTAAACATGTCGCAAAAAATTGCCTCCACTTTTATTGTGAACATTTCACTTTTTATGTCACCACCAAGGTGACATATTGTTATGGTCTAATTTATGTAATGGTGTAACTTTTCTGTATGACGGTTGGCAACCGTATCAAACTTGTAACAAATTCTTGAAACAGAATATTTCAACAGAAGTTCTGACTTTAGAATTAATGTTCATCTGTAACAATTGTTACACTTTTGTAACCATTTGCAGGTGGTGACATTTTGTCATGTTAATGCCTTGTTATCTAAATAAATTATGCTTGACTTATCCAAAATATTGAAACTTACTCGCTACATTTCAATGTTTAGTTTGCGGCACCACAACTACATTAAGTTGGTGTGGCGGTTGGGGATTAAAGATGTTAGTTGGTTGAATTTTCACACCTTGTCCCTAAATAGGCTGAGTTTATAGTTGCCCCTATCCCTGTTGATGTTGGAGATATGTGTCCTGATGTAAATAGGCTCTTTAACTAAATGTTTATTCCTATCTGCCTATCTAATAAGGAGTAGTCCTTGAAATTGATCACACAGTTATTTCTGACTCATTGATTCATAATTGCAGATTTATGCATTCCTATGATTGCTTCCTTTGACAATGAGTAAAGTGTGTGTTGCTCATTGTAGTATTGAGTCCACTTATGTTCACTGATTCTAACTGACACTTTCCTAGCTGTTTCACCTATGTATTCTGTCTAACAAGGAACACTGTAGATCACATTTGAATTGTTCTCTTTCTCCTGCTTATCCCTAGGTGGCAAAGTCCAATGTGATCTACAGTGTAGTTCTTTTAACAACTTGTTTTTAAGGTGGCTTAGGTGAATATTTGAAAAATATATCCATTTATATATGCATCATTTCATGTTGAATTGCTATTTTCTTGTTTTAGATTCATCTGGCATATTTATAACACTTTTGGCCAAATAAAAGGCATACAATTAAAAATAAATAATATTGTATTACAATATGCAATTATTTTCATCTTCTTCTTCAGCTTTTAGCCGTCTCCATATCTGTGGAAAGTTGGTTTGTGAGAATGGAGCAACATGTAAGAAGTTTTTGGGAGAATCGATGTGTGACTGTCTTCCGGGATATTCAGGCAACCGTTGTCAATATGATTGTAAGTACAAAATAAACTCTGGAGTGAAATACCTCTGTATTTGGAGCACTTCAAAGTCCTTTGAGTGTGCAGGGCACATCCCATGTGTTCATGTAAATACCCAGGGTACATGTATTCAGATTTTCACCAACACACTTTGGAATATTTAACTTTTTCTTAAACTCACAGAAACACTAATTAATGGTATGTACTTTACATTTTGAAAAATTAGGAGTTTGAATAGTGTTCATCTTGTTCAACTTTGTCCAGTGAACATCCAAATGACTTGATGGTCTCTGAAGGATAGCTGTATATACTGATACTAAAAGTATTGCTTCTCAATGAATTTTCAATTTTCATATCACTACCAGTAGTAGTAGTAGTGGTGATATATTACTATAGTCTCAAACCTTTTTGTAGGCCATGTTCGGCAGTCAGTGTCTGTAACACCATTTGGTGCTTGGTATCTGTAACAAATGGCAGATGGTGACATCTTGTATGTTAATGCCTTATGTTATGTTAATGTTATAGTTATGTCCCCCCACCACATAGTGTTGGGCCATATTGTATGCCTAGATGCATCCATGCGTCTGCCTGTATGCCCAATAGTTTTCTCCAAAACTGCTACAGATATCACCTTCAAATTTTCATGAATACCAACATTTTTCGAAACTGTAACATCTTCTATAACACACTCCATTCTATGTCTGATTAGGTTTTGAGCATGCTTTAGGTAAATCATGGGAGCCATTTTGAATGACTATGAAAAGTCAGCAAGCGATCTTCCTTTGTGTCATATTAATAAGGTGCTTTTGAGTTTTCATAATGCAACTGTTTAGTAGGTTTAAAAATGATTTTAAGAGTTCAGCATTGTAAAAACCCAGGTCACTGTTGTCTACAGGTTTCAAGCCAAACCATTTCGTGGATTGATCTGACATTTTTAGGGATGTTTTTTGGTATGAAATTTTACAACTCATTAGTTTTTGGGCATTTTGTGTAATTTTAAGGTGGCCAATTCTGGATTTTCCGTCATAAAATCTTGTCTGTAAAGTTTTCTTGTTTACACATTTTGAGCCAAACAATTTTATTGATCAGTCTGAATCTTTCATTGAAATTTCTTGGTATAAAAGTCTACAAATGCTTAGTCTTTGGGCATTCTGGATACATTTTTTAGGTAGCGATTTTGAACTTTTCATCCAGAAAACTAGCAAAACAACACCATGTGAGCCCAGTACCCATGGTTCTGTCATTATCCCACCAAACCAAGTTCGAGGGGGATATAGAAAAGCTGTCCGTCTGTCCTTTCGTCCATCTGTTCGTGTGTTTGGGCAATAACTCAAATACCGGTTGACAGATTTCATTCAAATTTTTTAGGCTTATGCCTTATGGGTGTAGGACCTCTGCTTGCGAAGGAATTTTCAATATGGCCACTAAATTCAAAATGGCGGCCATTTTTCGGAAAAAATATAATCTCATGAAGACATTTTCAAGATGGCCACCATAACTCTACCCTTTGCATTCATTTGACTTCACTTCTTAAAAGAGAGCTTCGTCTTCACTCTAAATAAACCTGTGAAACCTGTGAACTCACCGCGCCAATCAGTGTTCGTCGGCCAAATTTGACCGATGTTCTATATATGGTCATTCCATCTGACGTCATCGTTGAGCCCGGAATTGACCAATGACATGCGCATATTTAATTAGAACGCATTTGGCGTATGTTTCTTCAACCTCGCTGATTGGTGGAAGAAAGGTCAGCGCGTCAGACAAAAGTGATTGATTACCCAAACTGTCACCGGTACCCGTCGTGGGGGCGGGGCTACTAAACTGTAATATGGTATCTACTAGGCAGAGTGTAGTTTAACTAGACTCTGCACGCAGGGTATGATAACTCAAGTACCGGTAGACGGATTTGGATTAAATTGTATATGCTGATGCCTTGGGACATAGGAGCTCTGCTAAAGAAGAAATCTAAAGATGACAGCTGAATTTCAAAATGGCAACCATGTTTCATAAAAACATAATCTTTGATAATTCAAATACCAGCGGATGGATTTGGCTCAAATTTTATATGGATGCTATTTATCAAAACACGTTTTGTTCGGTGGGATTTGCTACTCCGTGGAGTTGCTGTTTTTCTAGTTCTGAGTAAATGTTGAAATGGCTAATTTTTTTCCTAAAATGTTTTTGTCCTAAAATGTTTTCAACTGATTAGTGTTGGGCGTGAGAAATCAGGATGATCGAGAAATCTATATATGATCACCCATTGGTGGGGATATGTTGTACGCCTTTGTGTCCTTGTTTTATATTGCTAAAATGAACAGCATATTTTCCAGAATATATATTTAAACTTCGAGGCCAAATAAAGGCATAACATTTTAAAAGTTCATGCTATATTTCATTTGCATTGTTTTTCTTGCAGCCCTTAGTTGTAGAGTGCTGGGATGTGAGAATGGAGGGATATGTAACACTAATTTTTGGGGAGAATTTTCATGTGTCTGCCATCCAGGATATGCAGGCGACCGATGTCAAATTTATGATTGTAAGTACAAAAGAAACTCAATCATGTTTTAACCCTCACATGTCTGACTTGTTTCAGGCAAATGTTCAATATACTGTGTGAACCAAATGTCCTTTGAGAGTTAGAATAAAAAGAGAAGAAAAACAAGTAATTCAACAAGGCCTGTTATTTCATTTAAATCGTAAAATATGTACTAATTTCTTACCACAATTAGTGTATACAGGAGAGTTTGCTATTTCCAGATTCTAAATATGACCATTCCCTACATCCTCCTAAGCAGGTATCCAGAATCTGTACCTCCTTCTTCCCCCTGCTATAACCAATTTGGAAGCCCCCGATTAAACTGAATCACGTGATCTAATTATGCGCAATGACTTATACATGATTTCTGTTGCAGTGTTGCGACAGCCAGTCAGTTTGCGAGTTCTTAATCGGGGAAATGCTAACTGCTTATCGCAGGGGGTAAAAAGAAAGAATATATTCTGGATTTTGAAGCCCTGTGATCGGAGGTTGATTCCCTATGATTCTCAGATTTTTGCAGAAAATCATATTTTGTGTTTTGATACATGTATATTATTTTGATATACTTGTATATTGAAAATTATCATTATCAACTTTTCTCTCAACAAGAGAGATGGTAGCGATGGGAGACTAATTTTATTAGAATTTTATAGTACAAAATCTTTTTCAGTTCCAGATCCATTCATAGCCCCAACAACTCCATTCATCCCTGACTTGCCTGATTGGCCAGACACATACAATGGCTATCACCGTATTCATGATGATGACCCCAATGTACAGTTTGACAATGAAAGCTCTACTGGAAAACACAATGTTCTTGCCACAATTGTTGGAGTTGTGTTTTTTGTCATCTTTCTTCTCTTAATTGTACTGAGAGTGTACATTCGAAGGTATGAAATTCACTATTGGAAGGCATAAAGGAGAACACATCATAAATCACTAAACATGCACTTTTGAATAGATGTTTTTTTTTCAATAGTAAACAGAAAGATTGAAAAAGGAAGGATAACATTTAATGGGCCAAGAAAGTGTCACCATAATCATAGAGCTGTATCTATTATCTAGTAATGTAGGCATTCTCATTTTTTATTTGATAATATCTAACGATATCTAAACGGTAATAATGAATTTTCCTAAATTATTTGAAGTTTAGTTTGTTATGCTATAGTTAAAAGTAGTTTGTAAATCTAAAATGTTTTTGTTTTAGAAAGAGAATCATGGCTGTCCAGCGAAATGCTCAGCGAGTTAGGGGTTGGTTGGTCACTGAGTTCTTCCGTGCTCTCATTGTACGTCAAACCACAACACCTGAAGACAATGATATTCTCGTAGCAAATGCAGAGGGTGGGGTAGAAGGTCCTACCCCTGTGAATGTAAATCGCACCCCAACTGGAACGATGCCAGCTCCACCAGCATATGAAACCGTGATTGAAGAAGGAAATAAATTCCTTCCTCCCTCATATGATGCTGCAATGAGCCCCGTTACCCCCCAAGGTGCAAGTGCAGGCCCTGTGGCACAGAGTGATGCTGGCCCTCAGGCTACAACTGAGCCTTCAATAAATGTTACAACCGAGGGTTCAGTAGATGTGACAGGTGCTACCCAACCACTTGTTCATGGACCACAAAGTAATGCCAACTTAGATCTGCAACAGGGACCCTTTGTTTAAACACATTGTTGAATGATATATTCTTCTGTAAGGCAATTAAAAGTTCACCTGTGAATAGAGTGTCAGTGTGGTCATATTTAAATAACATTTTGCATAAAGAATAGAGTTTTCAAAGATTGAACTAAAGGAATGTATCATGATATCGATTAACTATAATAAGTAAGTATTTTTTGCTCGGTCCCTATCCTTCCTGCCTTTCAAAATGTAAGTGATGATAAATTGAATTGTGCCTTAGAATTATGAAATATTTTAATCTATACTTTGACTTTTAAAAGGCATTCTAGTCCTACAGCAGAAGGGACATGTTAATGGAATATATTGGGTATTCAGAAAATAACTAAGAACAAATAAGGTGCTAGATCAAACAAGAATCTTGTATGTCAAATAAGGTATTTCACCATTTTTATGTCACCACCACAAGTGGTTGGTGTTTTGCATCTAACTAATGACAGGTAGTGACATTTTGCATGTTAATTCCTTGTTAAATCCTTTCTTCCTATAATAACTATTAACACCAGTGTTTGGGTCTAAGAGATCATAACTTTATTTCTTTAAACACACACATATTAACAAATAAAACTCACAACACATGACATTATGTCAACACAGTATGATCCCTATTTATAAAGCAGAAAACATCAATTAACTTGTGGAACTACTGATGCAACTACACATTTATGTATAATATGACAAAAGGGTGGGAGGGGGGGGGCCTGAATTTTTTACTTCCTGTACAAAAGTTGCTACTGGTTAGGAATATTCATATTGTGTTTTAGCACAATCAGGCACCTGGCACAACCCACCCATCCATCCATATTTAATCTCAATTCTTCACAGAATATCATTTAAATCCTTTCTTCCTATAATAACTATTAACACCAGTGTTTGGGTCTAAGAGATCATAACTTTATTTCTTTAAACACACACATATTAACAAATAAAACTCCAACTACCCAAACACTGAAAAAAAGAAAAGAAAGGAAGAAAGTGGTAGATGTAAATTAAGTATTAGGATGCCGAACCTATACCCTACGATGTCAAATTATAAAACAGACAGTTTTGCTTTAGCACTAAATTGCTTACAATATTTCAGTTGAACATTAGAGGGTATTTCATCAAGGTAACCTAAATAAGCCATACTCTTCCAATCCCCCATACCTTTAATTATTTCTCCAGGTATTCCACATGACATTGCAAAAACAGCGGAGCCCCTCCGAAAGCTATGAGTTCCAAACTTAGAACTGTCTTTACCAAAGCTCTTAAGAGAACTCTTGAATTTCTTTGCAAAACACTGACCTGTGAAAGGCTTACCTGATTGGGGGTTTACAAATAATGGATCTGACATGCATTTAACTGGTGTTTTTGCCATTGCAATTGACAATGCACTAACAGGACATAATTTATGAGGATACGTGTTTACCAAATGCACTACTCTTGACTTCTCTTTGTATTGATTATTCTTGGCCCATTTTACTGACAATTGTATGTTACCTTGATTGTCAATTTTAACTGAGTTCCTACAAAATTGTTTTTCATTGTTAAACCCACCTACAGTATCAGGCATCAAATTTGATTTTCTGAACATTCCATAAAACAACACGAGGCAAATAGCCCAAAAAACACAATCAAAGGTATCACATAGATCTAATGTATCTTTCATTTGTGACAATAAAGTGGGGGTAACTGGTTCTTTTTTATGAACTTCAGCACCAAGTTGCCTTTTTATCCCCATCAATGTTGATTTAACTAGCCAACTATCTTTATAAGGGTGCTCAAATCCACATTCCAAGTGAATAAGTCTCACAATATTGAGATATTGTGGTATGCTCGTGTATTTCAAACGTCTTGCTAAATAAGCAGCATATTCAGCAACAGTCTCTTCTGTTACTGGGACAGGTTGTAATCCAAGTTCATTACAGAAACGCAAATACGAATTACGTTGAGAAGAGTATGTTTTCTTTGTATTGTCAGAGAAAGCTTGTAGTCTATACTTTGCTACCTCTTGCTGTAATTCTTCTTTGAGAGCCAGTGACATACCTGTGGTAATAGAGACAATACAGTTTTCACTGACATATGTTTATGCAACACATGAAACAATACATAGTTGCCATGGAACCAATTAGACAGCAAACTGCTTAGATGAGATAATTGGCCATATGTATGGAGTCTTGAAATCGTATCAGCCATAATATTCACTTTAGTTCCAATAGATTTCACAGAGAATGTAAAATTATTCCTGGCACTTGCCCAAAATGTATTTCTAAGCAGTTGCATTATATAATCATTATGATTACACCTCCCTTTATTGACAATGCCCCTGGCCACTGAACTGTCAGAGTAGATATTGACATGGCAATCTTTCCATAATGTGCCCCATCGATTCACTGCTGCACATATAGCTATAATTTCCTTGTAATTTATATGTAGATGTTTAGCACTTTTCCAATCTAACTCAAAACATATATATTCCCAATCGCCTTGAGAAAATATCCCAGCACCATCACTGCTGGCATCCACAAATACACTGATTACTTCCTTTGTATTATAATACACTGTACCATCGCATATATCCAACATGGCACACCACCACTGGACATCTTTTTTGAATGCCTGAGATAACAACACTTTATCTCTACTACCTTTCATCTTCCTGAGATTATCCAATATACGTCGCAGAAAAAATTTGCCTCCACGAACCGCATGTGTTGCATAACTTAAGGACCCTACCAACGATTGTAGTTGACGTTTTGATGCACGTTTTTTATTACGAAATAACTCCAACTTGTCACGTAACTTATTTCGTTTTGCCTGGCCTAATGAGACCGTACAGTCCACAGTATTGATTTCCACACCTAAGAAGGTAACCATCTGACTTGGTCCACATACTTTAGACCAGTTTATCTGGAACCCAAGTGTCCTCAATAGATTAATCAATACATTTAAACACTTTTGACAGTCTGCTGCTGTCTCCTGTACAATGAGAAAGTCATCGAGATACGCTACAATCCCAGAATAGCCTTTCCTATTCATGATACGTTTCACTGCTTGTGATATACGTGTAAAAATTGAACATCCTTGATTAGACCCAAAAGGCAATCTGCTATCAAAGATATTAGTTACAGTTTCATCACCTTGAAATTTCCATTGCAGGCCTGTCATACAATAGTCAATACAAGATATAGGAACACTACGATAGGCATTTTTCAAGTCAATTTTTGCGATGAAGTAATTAGGTTTGGCTAAACGTTTTGCTTTATCCAATGTTTCATATTTCACAGAATTACTTTCTGAATAGTCATTCATAGCACAGCCTACAGGTCTACTACCATCATGTATAAGTCGAACATCCACTCCACTTGATTTTGGAATCGCCGCAAGTGGACTAACAATTTTTGGAACAGTTTTGGCAATGATATAACATCCATGTTTTATTTGGGTTTTCAATTCCTTTTCAACTAATGTCCTATGTTCAAATGCTGACTTGTGGTTTTGCATATATACAGATTTTACTTTCACTTCATTATCAATGTCTGTGATTCTAAATCCACTTTTAATACCATTCATTATATAATCATAATCACAATCATTCTTCATTAAACGTTCCCATTCCTCATGCTTAGAGGATATTGAATAGTAATTACCAAGGAAATCAGTATTACATGGGTCTATCAAACCAAATGGAGACTGTTTATTCTGCGACTGTCTGTCCTATTCATCTTTTGTACTTGAAGACTCGGTCTTAGGATGATCTTTCCCATGATGTTCACTTTTATTACAGGTTTTGCATTTATGCGCAAACTTGCAGGTGTCCCCATATGAACAAGTCCCTTTATTGTTCCATTGATCACAGTACAGTACCCTATTAGATGACCATGTTGAAGTTTTCTTTTTTCCAATGGCATTTGGTTTGTTAAAATCGTTTTTAGGGGGCCTCCTTTCTAAATGTACCTCTGATAGATGGGGAGTATCCGTTCCCCATCTAAACATGTATACATTTTGTTTTTTCCTATAGTCATCGTCATATTTTAACACTGATGGCCATGTATACCTACACGCTAAGTTACCGATCTTTGCAGTATATGCTACATAATCCAAAACATCAATACTGCTCGACAAGAGATGTTTACGCATGAGTTCCGCTTGTATTGAAGCATTAGCAGAAACCCATTGTGCTGGGGTCACATTTTCAATTTTTAATTTCGCTGTTTTACGTTTGAATGTATATTCTCCAAAATCAATATCTGTGTCCTCCTCATGTTCTAGGCCAGGGACATAGTCAACTATTTTGAGATATGAATTATTACCTTTATCTCCTTTCCTAAAGAGGTAAACTTGAGGATCCATGTAATCGGCCTGATGGCGTTCTGCAGCTGTAGCTGGTTTGTTGCCAAGTAAGTCTTCGAGAAATTTTAATCCAACCGTAGCCTCTGTTGATTTTCCTGGCTGAACTTTCGAAATGTCTTCAAGGAGGGGGCCAGTGCCAGCCTCACGTTGTAACTGTTTTACCCCAGCTAGTAGGGATCGTATTTCACCTTTTTTCAATGCAACACCGTCCAAATCCTCACTACTCATGTTGATAAGTGAAGAAATGTTGTCAAATCCTTCTGACAAGAGCCACTTTTGAGAGTCTTCTGTTATTTCAGAGAATTTAATCCACTTATCAAACTCAAATTTTTCCATGATGAGCTTAATTTTACTAACTATTACTAACAAAGATCAGCTTATTTGCAAATAAAGAGAAACTACTGAGTA